GAGACCACCTCAAATGCCCATTCCTGATAATGAACTTGATGTCTATAACCATCCGGGAGCCTTCATCCAGTGACTGATGGAAGCAGAGGCAAACACCCACAATTAAGCACTGAACTGAACCCAAGGAACCCAGTGACAGAGAGAGAGGAGTGATGAGCAAATTGGCAAAGAATGGGCTGGCAAAACCAGCAGAGACAGCTGATCTGAACAGGGGAGAGCTCTTGGACCCCAGACTGACAGCAGGGAGGCCAGCATGGGACTGATCTGGACCCCCGAATGTGAGTGTCAGTGAGAAGGCCTGGGCAACCTATGGGGCCCTGAGCAGTGGATCAGTGTCTATCCCTGGAATACAAACAGTCATCGTGTGCCCATAGCACAAAGAGGGATGCTCTCTCAGCCTGGACTCTTAGGGGAGTGCCTGGACCCTACCCTGAGTGAAATGACAGACTCTAGATATCCCCTATGTGGAAGGAATTGGCAATAGGGTGGGAGGCTGGGGGGGATGGGGAGTGTGGGAGGAGGGGAGGGAGAGGGAACTGAGATTGATATGTAAAACAAGCTATTTAAAATTAAAATAAAAATGATAAAAGAAATTAAAGAAGACACCAGAATGTGGAAAGATCTCCCATGCTCTTGGATAGGTATAATCAACATAATAAAAATGACAATCTTACCGAAAGCAATATAGATTTACCGCAATCCCCATTAAAATCCCAGCACAATTCTTCACAGACCTTGAAAGAACAATAATCAACTTTGAATGGAAAAACAAAAGACCCAGAATAGCCAAAACAACCCTGTTCAACAAGGCAACATCTGGAGGCATTACCATCCCTGACTGCAAGTTCTATTACAGAGGTATAGTCCTGAAAACAGCTTGGTATTGGCACAAAAATAGACAGATAGACTAAGGGAGTCAAATTGAACACCCCGACATTAACCCATAAATGTATGAACACCTGATATCTGATAAAGAAGCTAAAATAATACAATGGAAGAAAGAAAGCATATTCAATAAATGGTGGTGGCATAACTGGATATTGGCATGTAGAAGACTGCAAATAGGTCCATGTTTATCACCATGCACAAAACTTAAAACCAAATGGATCAAAGATAAATCCAACCACACTGAAACTGTTAGAAGAGAAAGTGGGAGGCACCCTTGAACTAATTGGTACAGGAGACTGCTTCCTGAACATAACTGTAATAGCACACACACTAAGATTGACAATTAATAAATGGGACCTCCTGAAACTGAGAAGCTTCTGTAAGGCAAAGGACACAGTCAGCAAGACAAAAAGGCAATCCACAGATTGGGAAAAGATATTTACTAACCCCACATCTCACAGAGGGCTGATCTCTAAAATTTACAAAGAACTCAAGAAGCAAGTTTCCAAAACACCAAAGGATCCAATAAAAAATTGAGGTGCAGAGCTAAATAGAGAATTCTCAGTAGAGGAGTCTAAAATGGCTGAGAGACACTTAAGAAGTGCTCAACATCCTTAGCCTTTAGTGTAAAGCAAATCAAAACAACTATAAGATACCATCTTACTTCTGTCAGAATGGCTAAAATCAAAAACACCCATGATAGTTTATGCTGGAGAGGATGTGGAGGAAGGAGAACACTCGTGCATTGCTGGTGGGAGTGCAAACTTGTACAGCCACTTTGGAAATCAGAATGGAGATTCCTCAGGAAAATGGGAATCAGTCTACCACAAGATCCAGCAATTTCACTCTTAGCCACATACCCAAAGGATGCACATTCATACAAGGATGTGTGTTCCACTATGTTCATAGCAGCATTATTTGTAATAGCCAGAACCTGGAAGCAACCTAGATGCCCCTCAACTGAAGAGTGAATAGAGAAAATGTACTGTTATACAATGGAGTACTATTCAGCAGAAAAACAAAAACAAAAACAAACAAAAAAAGCAATGGAATCCTGAAATCTGTAGGAAAATGGATGGCACTAGAAGAAACCATACTGAGTCAGGTAACCCAGTCACAAAAAGAGAAACATGATATGTACTCATTCATTTATGGATTTAGACATGAATCAGGGGAGTGCCAGCACACAATCCCACTGCCAGAAAGTCTGGGAAACAGAACCTTCATCTAGAGACTGATGAAAGCAGAGGCAGATACCCACAGACAAACACTGAACTGAACTCCTGCAATCCAGTGTCAGAAAGGGAGAACTCATGGGCAAAGGAGTTAAGACTGAGTTGGTTTAACCCACAGAAACAGTTGACCTGAACAAGGGGGAGCTCTTGGACCCCAGATTGATGGCTGTGTGGAAAGCATGGGACTGACCCAGACTCCCTGAACATGGGTGTCAGTGAGGAGGCATAGGTAGGTAATCTATGGGGCCTTGGGTAGTATTTACCCCTGGTGTATAAACACACTTTGAATGCCTATGCCACAATATGGGATGCTCTCTTGGCTGGGACTGCTGGGGAAGGTCCTAGGCCCTGTCCTGGATGAAATGACAGACTCTGGATATCCCCCATGGAAGGCCTCACCCTCCCTGGGGATTGGAATGGAGATTGGGTGGGGGACTGTGGGACCTGGTGAGGAAGGCAGGGGAGGAAGAGGAGGGGAGGGAGAGGGAGCTGGGATTGACATGTGAAACAAGCTTGTTTCTAATTAAAAAAAAATTATCTTCTTGGTGTTGTTCTTTTGATGAAAATGAAATGACTTTCATTATTTCTTTTGTCCCCTTTGCCTTTAAAGACTTTTGTAAGATATTAAAATATTTACCCTTCCTTGTTTCCTATGTCCATATGTTTAAGAAACTGCTTGAATTTTTTCCCCCTAACATAGTATCTACCATTGGTTCTTGGGTATTTTAAGAGGCAAAAAAAAAAAAAACCAACCAACCAAACAAACAAACAAAAAAAACAAAACGGTACTCTTTCTAGTCTCTTTAAAATAAAGAGCTCTTTGCTTTTGCATATGAACTCATAGTCCTGGTAGTCTCTTATGGGCTCATGATGTGGATTTAATAGTATCTCAAGGACATTGATTTATACACAGGACACAGAGCAAGTCTCAACAAACAGAACAAAACTGAAGTAGCATGCTTTATTCTATGCCAGCACAATGCAAAGCTATGTACAAACAGCCACAAACTGATTAGCCCCCAAATCAGATACCCTGAAATAAAGACTCAGCAGGCTACATTCATATATTTGTGGATACATATATATATATATAGTGTGTGTGAGAGAGAGACAATTATAAAAGGACTATCAACTTGAGAGATGGGGAGGGACATGGAAGCAGAGGGAGAAAACGTGAGAGGGGCTGGACAGAGGAAAGGAAAGGGGGACAAATGTTAACTGTATCTTAATTAAAATGGATAGAGATAAAAACCAACAGTGGTCTGGATTTAAGAATCACTTGATAAAATCCAAGGCTAAAACCTGTAACATAGTGAAGGTAATCAGAGAAGTGACCTTTTTTTTTTTCCCTGGATATCAAAAGTACTCCGAGAAAGTAAAGAAAGGATGTGATTGCACTGAAAATTGGTGTCAAATTTATGGTGTGATGTTTGGCAACAAACTGTATAGTCCCTGAGACAGCGGGCAGGGAGGGAGCTATACAGTCACTGAGGCAGCGGGCAGGCAGGAGTGTACAGTCAATTCCCACAGTGTGTAAACAGCTAAAGCACAGGATTATGGGTCCACAGTCATCCGGCCCTCGAAGACAGTGTTTTACAGGAGACAATCACACATCCAATTTTTGTATCATTCACAGAAGTCTATGACTCATTTAGAAATAATTTGCAGTGTGCAAAGTAATCCATGATTAAAGGTGTGCACTGAGGAACAATGCACTGTCTTGGCATGTGGAGTTCTCTCAAAGAAAGCATCAAATTAAGAGTAGCCAATCAAAGAAACTGTGAGCAGAGCACACCTCCAACTTTTTTAAAAATAAACTTTTATTAAAATTAAAAACAATCTTACTTTATATACCAATTCCAGCTCCCCCTCCCTCCATTCTCCCATTCCACCCCCCATTCACTCCCCAGGGCAGGATCTAGGCCCACATCTCCAGCTTTAAAAGTACTTAAGGTTTGTTTTCTTTGTTTTTTTGTCTTATAGATAAAACCATGTAACAGAATCAAGACAACCCAGTAGCATCTACACAGATGTTACATAAACTGGAAATTGAATCAGAGTCTGTACAAAATAATTCTTTAAGTATGTATGTTTAGTCCAACAGGAAGATATTACCACACAAGGAACAGAGACTTAGCCTTGGCACAAGGAACTACCATCAATTGTTCTAGAGATGATAAAGGATAATATTCAGGAAAACACATTGGTATTTTTTTGCTACTTCCTACAGCTATTTAAAGCAGGGCTCACACCACCCTTATCTTAAGAATGCTGGCTGGGCTGGCTACTAATATAGATTGTGTCTACTGAACACATGACTCCAGCACATAGAAACACAGGAAGTATTAAAGTCGGTATTCCAACAGGATTCAGCTTTATTAGATTATTTGGTTGTTCTGAGGCTTAAATATGTGTGAAGATTTGAGCACAACACCTGTTATGCAGACAGCTCCAAGAATCTGGCCTACAAGTATTCTTCCTGAGTTAGATCCCTGTTATTGCAATAAAACTTTCACAAAGAGGAAGTGTTTAAATTTGGCTCATGGTCTCAGAATTTCTAGACCATGGTAACTAGGTAAGCCCTGTTATGGGCCTGTGTCTACACAGGACACTCTGGTAATAAAAGTGAGGAGGCCTAATTGCCTCATGGCAGGAGGAAAGCAGAGTGTGACAAGAGGCAGTCAGGCCCTGAAAATTCTTCCCAGAGCATGCCATCCTAAAACAAACCTCCTTTACAACCTCGAAACAACTCCATGGCCGATCACCAGGCCTGCAATTTATGGCCATCTGGGAAGATTCAAGATTCAAACTGCAGTACCCACCTCATCATGTTATTTCACCAACAAACATTTATATTTATGAAACTGTAGAAATGTGTGCATTTATTTATTTATTTATGATTTAAAGTTGCACAGATCTGTTATCCCTCAGTTTTTAACAATTACACAAATGCATACATATATGTACATGTTTGTACAAAAGTGATCCACAACTCATAATTTTAAACTCGATAAATACTGTTGAGTTCAAAAGCATACCATCTTATTGTAATGCAGGAAAATTTTTACATTGAAAAAGATGATACAGCTGAAGTAGAAAAATCCTAAACCTCATCACTTCATTAGCTTGTATGTGACGGAATAACTCCATTCACAGAAATGTGGAAATCAAATGCACCATCTCATTCAAAGTGATAGACTCATAAAATGGGCAACATCAGCACCAATTAAAACAATTTTGCCACTCCTCCTTAAATACCCTCTTTACTACATTTGTACAGTTGAATGTTTTTCTCTGTCCTGGTCTCCAAAGCTGCTTATGAAATAATCACTCACATGCTCACATTAAATATAATTGTTTAGCCAATGGCTCAGGCTTATTACTGGTTAGTTCTCTTTTATAAATTAACCCAGTTTTAATAATCTGTTTATCACCACGTTGCCTTGGATTACTGGTAATGTTCTGGCATTTGCAACTTACCCTTTTGGCAGCTACATGGTGTCTCCCTGACTCTGCCTTCTTTCTTTCTCTATCTCTGTTTGGATTTTCCACTTAGCTACATTCTGCCTGGCTACTGGCCAAATCAGCTTCTTTAATTAACCAATGGTAATAAAACATATTCATACGTATCCAGCATCACATTTGTTTAAGTCAAACTCAGGCACAGGCACAGGAAGACTTCTTTCCCCAAGACTGGCTAAGAAATTCCTCTGTACATAAAGCAAAATGGAACGGTATGAAAGAAAAGCAGCCTCCACTGTCTTATCAGTGAAAGCCAGGAGCCTCAAGAGGAGAATGTGTTCTTATCTACACCCACAGTAACATCAACTCTGGTATAAGACTCAAAAGAAATGCAGCGAGGGGGTGGGGGGAGACAGAATTGAAACAAGTGTTTCATGGTGGGAAATGGACCTTTGGTGTCCAGTGACAGCACAGCTCTCCTAAAGAAACTGATAAAAGAAATGGAAATTTGTTCCCTCCACACAAAGTGTGGCCTTATTTTGTAACTCTAGCGGTCACCCTGGGCATATTGAACAAAAAGATATTCTAACACCTTCACAAGAAATGTCTTTCTGTACAAAAGAATTTAAACTACAGCGAAAATGAGAATGGTACTTTAAGAACAGAGAAGTGTGTTCTGAGAATCAGCCATAACCTTTTCTAAGATTATAAAATCCCACACACAGTGCGCTGAACATCAGGACTAGATGATGTCTTCTGTAACCATGGTGTCAAATATCTGGTAACATATTCGCTTCTCTGTTCCACTTGTGACATTGTAGGACTTGATGAGGCACTCCAGCCATGGGTATGCATCTACAGAAAAAGAGGGTCATTCAGCCATTATATCAAGCATATACAGTAATGCTAATTAGAGTTTCTTCCCAACTTCAGATGAAAGTGATTTAAAGTTTACAAAATACTTGCCGCCAGAAGCAGTCAGTCACATCACCCATGTTTTATTCTTCCTATGCTGACTGCTTATGGGCCTCCCCTGGCTTTTCCTTGATTGACTAGAAAGAGGCAGCACCTGAACTCTGAGATGCCCAGATGGAAGCAGCTCCAGGCCTCACCACAATGGCAGCAATGATGCCAACATAGTTTGGTGGGGAGCAGGGCAGGCTCAATTCTAAGGTCAGCGGAAGGCTCTGGTAGGTCTACCAGGTATCTGGTATGGCACTCGAGCTCACCCAAGGTAATGTAAGGCGCTCCTATGCATGACTGGTGTAACTTACAAAGTAAAATATATCTACATAAATAATTCGCCTGTATATGTCAAAAGTCACCATGCCCAGAGACTTATTTCTAGAAATCCAAGCATGGTAAGTCCAATAGCCAACTAAAATTAAAATTGAAAACAAATAAATGCATCTGAGCTAAACTTTGCTTTGGGTAAGCAAAATTTCCCGTTTCTTGGAAACTGATGTTACAATGCACAGACTGCCTGTGGAGGAAGAAACCCTAACGAGGAGCAAAGTCTAACAGTCACATAGAAAAGCAGACAGAGGGGAGATTTGTCATTGAGAACAAGTACTAGAAAAATCAAACATCAACATAGTTTAGGTCTGCAAGTTCCAACAGAGATTAATTGCTGACCACAGGCAGCAGCTATAATGGCCACAATTTTCACCTGTGCAGGAGCCTGCCAACAAGCTGGTGTCTATGCAGAACCAACTGAAGTTCATAGAGTTTGCAAAATAAAACTGGAAAATTCTGAAGCTCACTAATACCACAGAGGAAACTCACCGAGTCAAACAAGAGAAATGCAGTTTATTTGAGGAAATGTTTGTTTGCAAACTGCACTCATTTGCTATAATGTGCAAACTCAGAATCAAACATGCAGTAACCAAAACTGCTATGCTTCAAGTGTATCCAGAGATATTTTAACTCCTTTATTTATATTTACTTTGTTTCTGCTGCTGTCCCATCAGGACCTGGATAAAGTTATTGCTCACACTTACTAATTTGTCTCCTTCCGCCCAGTCTATGGAACAGATCTACACTAGGTGCTTTCTCAAGAGAGAGAAAGAGGCACTTTTGAAATACTGCTTACCAATTTGTATTCCTGGAGGACAAATCACATTCATGATCTTTTCCAGATTCTTCTGAAGGTTGTCATCAGTGAGGATTTCTGATGCTGGGATCTGGAAAAATTTCTCCTAAAAATGATGGTAAACAAAGGAGATATTCACCATCTGCAAAGCTTTAATGCACAGAATTTCAGTAACTAATTTGCTAAACTGACCTCTATACATACATCAGTCTGTTAGGGTGTGGGACTCAAACTGGAATTGTCTACACTAAAACCCAATCCTCCACTTTAATTGTAAAACAGACCTGAGATGCGCATTGATACGTGGTAAGATCATGTAGCAAGGCTGATGATGCTGTGTACTCAGAAAAATAAATGCAGTGCTGACTATGAAAGGATATAACATTAAGAAAAATGTATTTAATGTCCTCCTCTGCTACATTATGTTTTAGATAAGAGATTTTTCTTGCCTTGCTAAATGTTCTATTTTGAACACATACACATTATACATCAGCCACTCAATAAACATCCATTTAATAAGTGACTGCATGAACTGTGCAGCCTGGAGGAAAAAAAAATCACTTAACTTTGACTTGGATTGTTTTCTATTTTATGTTAAGTTAAAAAAAAAAAAAAACGAAAGAAAAGAAAACCAAATATTCAAAACCAAAAACAAACAAAAAACTGTCTTACCCTAACAAAAGACTGGTCTTCCTCTTAGCTTCTAGTATGTCATGACTTGTAAGAGCCGGCAAATTGGCAAACTGACTGTCTGCTGGAGCTACGGGTCACTCTGGAAAACCTAACAATGTCATCTGAAGTTGGGGAGTCTGGGCTATGTAGCACTAGCCTGACCTCAGGAGGAGAGTGATCAGCCAGTTATGACAACACAGGCGACGGAGTCACATCAGGGCCTAGGCCAGTGCTTCCCAATGTGTAGATGGAAACCCTTGGGGATGTTGGTGAAATGACCCTTTCCCAAGGTCATATATAAGACATATTGCGTATCAGATATTTACATTACAATTCCTAATAGCAGCAAAATTACAGTTATGAAGTAGCAACAAAATTTTATGGTTGGGGCCACCAAAAACATCAGTACTAAGCTGGTTGAAAACCACTGGCCTCTTTCCTATATACTCCATGTAGATTGTTTAACTCAGTGCAGGGAAACTAACAGTCTCTGCTTTAGAGGGAGAGGGTGAGCTTGGAAATATCGAAGCTAAGAGGGGCCTCAATGACTTCTTAACTTCCAACTACCGGGGTCAGGACCGGCGGCAGTCTTCGGCACTCCTCCACAACTTATGCAGTGACACATGTCTGTTTATCAAGTAACTGCATTTCCTTTCAGATGAAACTATGGAGACTCTCCAAGTGCAGTGAGGTGATGATAATGTGTCTTTATATCTGCTTTTGCCCAGCAGGGGAATTTAGAATGACGGGGAGAATGGCTCCTCAGATTCTGATTCTTCAACTTCATAGTTTTAAAAATTGTATCTCTACTAGAAAATCAAAAGCTATACACCACACAGTTTTAGATTTATGTGGCTGCATTTCATTCATATGTTCTAAGTCATTTGAAATCCTCTTAAGAACAAAATACAGAGAAACTGAGTTTTCGGGTTCAAAAGGTCTCAATAAGTTAAACGGACGTAAACTAAGTAGGGTGAATATTAAAAGTTGAAGTATAAATTTTAGCTAAATACTTTTAGCAGGTCTGACACTTACAGAATCCTTGAGGTAAGCATTTAATACCCCTGTTCCGTCATCAAAAGTGAAAGCCATAACAAACACATACTGCAGAGGAACAATGCCTAGAACTAGAGAGAGAAAAGAACACATTAGTCCAGGCTGCTAGAATTTTCTGTTAGGTAAACTCCGAAGTGCTTTAGTCCAGTGCACAGGTGCAGATAATGTTTACAGAGAGTACTATCAACAGCAAGAGTGCTTTCTTCTCTAGGATCAATTTGTTAAACCCACGCAACAGAATCCCTTAGGAACATTCCACTGTATGTTTCATGATATACTTGGTAGAACCATAACAAACGATTAATTAAATGCAACTCATTACATGTTAATTATATGAAAAATGAAATTAAAACCACAGAATTTTCTAGAAAGCAACACACAAAACTTACTCCCTTTGCATTATGAGTAGAGTATCGCTTCTTTTTTTTTTTTTTTTTTTCAGAGACGTCATTTGGCCGAAAGAACATACAAGCCAGAATCTGGGGTTCCATAATTGCTAGGATGAGGCAGAATGAATAAATTGGAGACACTAAACATGAGAATTTTAAGTTAAGGCAAGCACCTTTTTTTCAGGAGTTGAAGTCACTGAACAGAAATATGGAATGGCCTACTACCTTCCATTCTTACAGACCATATTCTGGTAGGAAGATCAGTTAGGGAGGCAAGACAGAAGCATGAATTGGAGCAGAGACACAAATTTTAATATGTAATAGCAGTTAGATGGGAACCAAGTTTCTGGCTTCAGAATGTCTCAACAGTTACACTGAAGCAGCCCTAAGGAAGATGAAATTCAGAACTATGGAGGATGTGACACAGCACCACCCAGCCTCACAGGAGAAGCTCATGTGATGCAACACAAAATTCATTGGTCCGGGGTATGACATAGTTCTATCACAGAACAAAAACTGTAACAAAAAGCACACACACATACACAAGTTTAAAAGCAGAATTTCAATCTAGGGAAAGGAATCTGGGTATGCAGTGCCATGAAAATAATTCTCATGATATTTTGAGTTGCCCAAACTAAACCTACACCTCTCAGTGACTATGAAGGGCAGACTCTGAGAAAAAAACGTTGGCAAAGTGGACATCTATTCGGGAGACAAAGGAGTCAGAAGAATGGAAAATTAACAGAGGGGAGAGTGCCAGTTTGAAAACACACTCACCAGCGGCACAAGAGACAATGTGACACCTACAAAAAGCACTGTCCTTACAGAAGAGGAAGCACACATACACCTGTAATAAATAATTCTAGTAGACAGAACACAATCCATATTAGTAGGCAGACCTGACCTCCCTATCAAGGACTGTCTAAAAGTTGCGCTTTAAAATGTACACACTTCTGACCGTTAAAAGTTGAGCTTTAAAATGTGCACACTTCTGAACGTTAAAAGCAAAGCCTGGGTGATAAATCCTGCATGCTGCCTAGACTCAGAGGAAGTTAACGGCCATCTCAAAACCTTGTCCAACACTGAGTATGACTCAGAAAGATTCCCTCGGGATCTGTATTTGTGGTCAAGGATTAAACGGAAAACAAGTGGTCAAATATTAATGTGGTTGTGTTTACAATGTTTGTAAATGATTGCAAGTATTTTAAATATTTAGTTCATATTTTTCATTACAATTAGTTAATCTAGTTTTGTCATAAGTGTTCACAAATACTGAAATGTAAATCAGTGAGATGACGGAGCATTAAAACTTTAGGAGACATTAGGATCTGGAAGCTGCCATGTGCTCTGCAACCACCACCCAAGAGAGAGCAATCGCCTCCCAGTCCACACACAACACCTGAGAGCCTTCCCAGACAGGGCCTGTATCTCAAAGACTATTGGCCAAAAAAGTTCCCAGAAGAGAGGTGCACAGACAAAATATCACTTTGAATCTCGGGAGATATTTTGAAGTTTGGATCTTTGACATGTATTAAAATGACAATTCAATCTAATATAGTCAATAAATTAGATTCCAAAATGATTGATCACAAAATATTTTATTACCAATAATTTGCATCCATGTACCCTTTCCTATCTCATTATCCTATCTCTTTTCTAAATTGTTATCCTGAGTTTTCTGTTTATATTCCCTTACATTATTTGTAATATTTTTACATATGTAGTTTATTTGAAAATATATATCAATTAATTGCATTTGCTTTTACTATGAATGGTTAGAATCATAAGGCTTACAATATTGGGTTGTGATTTTTGGTCAATATTGTATTTCTCCCATATTGCTAAAAAAAAAAAAACTTTAGGAGACAAACATCCAGCTCACCTGCTGCCACAGAGGAAGGGATCCATAGTCTTTTATTGGGAATAGTACTTAGGTTTTGTATGGGTTTCAAGTTTGAGCACTGTTTACATCTGAAATGAGTGAAGAAAAAACTGGGAAGTATTTAAATACAATCAAATTCATTTAATTCTTACATGTTGTTTAAGTATGGACAGTTTCAGAAAGGCAGCTATTAAACAGAAGAACACTTCACTGTCTACACAGTAATGTGATTGTTTCAAAAGAGAATTATGATGAATTTCCTAAGCAAATCAATAAACGACACTATGGGTGTGGGGGCTTCTATGAGAATGGCCCTCAGAGGCTCAGATACTTGAATGTCTGTTTTCCTGTTGGTGAAACTGTTTGGGAAGGATTAGGAGGTGTGTCACTGGGGCTGGGCTCTGAGGTTTCAAAGGGCCAGGTTAACTTTCTCTGCCTCCTATTTATGGATCAAGGTATTATCTCTCTCCCACTGCTCCTGCGCCATGTCTGCCTGTATGCCCCACACTCCCTGCCGTGATGACCATGGACTCACTCTGAAACCGTAATCAAGCCCCAAATTAAATGCTTTCTTTTACAAGTTGCCTTGGTCACGGTGTCTCTACACAGTGATAGAATGGTGACTAAAACAATGAGCTTCAGAATAAATAACCTGAAACTGGACTCTAGGTCTAAATCATTACATAATATGACTGTTAATTTTCTCATCTGTTAAAACAAAAAGACACAAGAGAGAACCTGCTGGAACGCTTTGAATTTAAGGCTCTATGAGCAACATCTAATTGTCACAGCCTTACAAAAACATAGTAAGAAAAAATTATCTGAATGAACAGTGAGGACAAATTACTGTTTTTAGTGAGTACATATTAGAGGCATTGTGTATACCTGCAAGTCAGTTACTGTTTGCAATATAAGAACATCTGAAATGAGACAATTACTATCATTGGATGACATTTAGTACAACATGCCCTGCTGATATATCAATATATTTAAGTATGAGTAATACTAATTAATAACCATTTTTTTAGGAATGATGAAGTGTGCGTAAGATGTAGTAAGAAAATATGCTTAGAAAATATATTTGAATAATAATTAGAACTCAAGAATACCTATAATTTATGAATTGGGAAAGAGGATTATCATTTGATCATCAAATACATAGATATTTTCTCACTAACAGTAATAATGCAAAGATAATGGATTGAAAATTATTCACTAACATCAGCAGTGACAGAGCAGGTTGGCATATAATGTTGGGTCTCCTGATTTAGACTGAGGTACTCTGTACTAGGAAGGAGAGAAGAAAGAAAGGAGAGAAAAGAATGCGGGATGATCAGGTCACAGTTTATGGACTTATTCAAAGGAGAACAACAGAACGCAATGGGTTTTGATATTTCAATCAAGTGGCATGCAAACCTTGCAGGAGATTCACAGACAGAAGGACATTGAGTGCTTCTGAGGAATTGGCTGCAAACATTCGCTTTTATTTTATGGCTTAACTTTTTCACCCATTGTATATGAAACAAAACCAAGAGCAAAGTCCACTGGCCACTCTAAGGGCCACAATAGTGTGTCGCTATGATAATGGGTGGAGAAATGGGAAAACAAGATCAAGCCAGGCTGCAGTGCGAGCTTCTCAAAGCAAAGTGTTTTCAGGGTGACTGTTTCATCAAAACTGCAGGGTGCTTTACTTCACTCTCCTTCCAGGCCTGCACCCACAGACTCCATACTCCTCTCTGTCAGTTTTCAGTCACAGCAACTCTGCAAAGTTCTGGAACTCCCTCAATGTGCAACTCTGAAATGTTCCATTAGCTAATATCTAAACTCTTGTGGGAGGAGCAGGGTTAGTTTGTGGCTGAGAAACAAAATGTTACAAGCCTTATGTGTTGCACATGCAGTGTTCAGAGATCTAGAAATGTGTAAGAAAAACTGAGTATGTGTACTCTAGAACTTACAAGAGGGTTGTGTCAATACATCTAACTTCCTGAATTTAGCACGTAATTGCTGACCCTGACAATCAGTCACTGCCAGGGAGCGCTACTTAGTTATATTGTTCCCTAGCATGCTGAGTGCTTCACCACACACCACCAGACTAGAAAAGACTGAAATGCAAACTACAAAGAACAGTTTGCCAAACCTGTACCAATCTGTACCACTGTGGTACGATCATTTAGCTTGGGCCCTGGCTCTAAGTAGAACTGGCGTAATAGTATCAACTGAACACAGAAAGGCTGGAGGACAGGCAATAGAGACACAGTTGTAATTCCCAGATGTCCAAGAAGAACACACACCCATAGTGACACACCTTTCCTCGGATGAGGAATGGTGCTGCAATGTCTAGGAGCTCCAGGTCTTTAGGGCCCGACTTCACAGGGATCACACTGTGAAATATGCTCGACAGTTTAGAGATTTCACAGAGCCGTCCTCCTGTTAAAACAATAAAGAAACTCAATGGCACACAGAGAGTCAGAGCAAGACGCAGGATGCACATAACATGTGTGACACAGCAAGTGTCACAGGAAAGGGAGTTGCAAATTTAGGAGGAAATTTAAACTTTACATGACAAGAAAAAACTATGAACTGTTACAAAAGAATTAGATGGGAAAAAAACCCACAGGAAATAAATAGCACAATTCCAATCTCGTAGAGTTGACAACGTTATCAAGGCTTTTCAAGGCTCCCTTCTGCTCAGGTTAAGGATTTTCATCCCAGTATCATGACCCACCAGTGACATCCAGAGACCAAATGACAGTTTCACATAAGCAATGAGCCAGTCTATGAGCGCTACTCTGAGCTGATGAGATTACAGACAGGAATCCAACAAGTAGATAAATTCGAGTTTAGTGCATACTATGATAACTCAGGCCGATGTGTATGCTCACATATATTTGCTGATATGCTGTGTGAGAAATATAAATTAACAGTACTTTTACTTCATAAGTATCAGATGAGCATAAGATATAGATAGCTAACAGGGCTGGAGAGATGGTCAGTGGTTAAGAGTACTGATTGCTCTTCAGGAGGACCCAGGTTCAATTCCCAGCACCTACATGGCAGCTCACAAGTGTCTGTAACTCCAGTCCCAGAGGATCCAACACCCATGGCAAAACACCAATGCACATAAAAAAGGCATAGCTAACAGTAATAGGGGAAAATGTTCAAAAGAATAGTTTAAGAACTCAGTAATAAGCAAGCATCCTACCTTCAATCAAAATTAGACATTCATTTGAGAGAGGGAGGATGCCATCACTTTTCATAAAATGGACAGCGACCTGCCGTCCTCCTTGACCTTCAGTGCTCCAGACTTCTGAGTCATACAATGACGTACACTGCAGCTTGCTCTCTGGGGCTTTAGTTGCAGCATCTTGCAAAATTTTATCCACATTTTCCTCATATGGAACTTCTTGCCTAAAATGATCGATGACAAATTATCAGCAAACAATGTACATATATTCTCCAAAATTCCAATTTAATAAATTAATTCAAAAACAAAACTATTTTAAGAACCGAAGAGATGACTCAAAGGTTAAGAACAGTTGCTACTCCCGTAAAGGAACCAAGGTTCATTTCCCAGCACCCACACAGTGACTTACAAACATCTGTAACTAATTTATGAATTTTGTGGGCAATAGGTAAACATGTGGTGCACACACTCACATGCGCGTGCGCACAAAACACACCCAAAATAATCTAAAACAAACTTTAAATACTATTTAAACTAGACAAGCTTGTTTAAATTAAGGATTGAAGATTTAATTAATTTCGTTTCAGATTTAACAGATTTCATTCAATAGGTGTTTAATATTGTAATGGTTAGGTAAATCCATACCATAATCACAGAGAAGTTGTATCTGTGTGATTATGCCATGGTAGAGGTCAGAGCACAATATCTTACCATGTTGGTAACAGGGATTTTACATATGTCATCAGGCTTGGCAGCAGACATCTTCACATGCTGACCCAGCTCTTTGGCCCATGCCAAGGTGACTTATTACAGTTACTCCTAGTCCCAATCTGTTGTTGTGTACAAGTAGCCATGTCTTTCACCCCAGCTAATCTGATTGTCACAGGGCACCTACTTTAAAGTGTTATTAGCTCTATTTGTCTTTAATGATTGGTAATTCGTACTGCCTCATAAACTACCATGCAGTAAAAATGGCATGGTTTGGAATTAAAAGGCTGAAGAACTTATTTGCATTCTGTCACCAGCTGGGTGTGTATCTTTACATTATCTCTTACACTTTCTAAGATGCTTTATTGTCTAGAAGAACAGAGCATAACCTTATTCTTGAAAAGCTGTGTAATCCTACGGCATTAAAAAACTCAAGGAATCCAGTGAGTGACAGAGAGGGAGGACTGATGAGCAAAGGGGTTAAGACTGGGCTGGTTTAACCCCCAGAAACAGCTGACCTGACAAGGGTTAGCTCTTGAATCCCAGACTGATGCCTGGGAACCCAGCATGGGACTGATCAAGACCCCCTGAATGTGGGTGTCAGAGAGGAGGCCTAGGTAATCTATTGAACCTTAGGTAGTAGATCAGTATTTATCCTGGGTATACAAATGGACATTGGGCGCCCATCCAACAATGAAAGATGCACTCTCACTCTGGACTCCCAGGGGAGGGTCTAGGCCCTGCCTTGGATGAAATGACAGACTATGGACACCCCCATGGAGGGCCTCACCCTCCCTGGGGAAAGGAGGGGATATTGGGGGGTTGGTGGGAGAGCATGGGAGGAGGGGAGGGAAAGGGAGAGGGACCTGGAAGTGATACGTGAAGCAACCTTGTTTAATTTAAATTTAGAAATAAAAAATTTAAAAAAAGAAATATAATTTGGCAATGTTGCATAAATTACCTAAAATCTTCATATATAGTTTAATCACATCTGAGAGTTTATGATCACATGGGTAGCAAAGAGATTCCTCAATTTTTATTAAGTGAATTTAATGATTTACTTTCTCCTGAAATACTGTAGTCTCAAATTTTGCAAGACAAAAAAAGTACCCACATTACTCTAAAGAGAGATTAACAAATAATATGCAAACTCACAAATATGCGTACATCTCTGGGTACATTTACATATGGCAGTGAAAGCTTGATGCACACAATGGCGGTCTGAAAAAAAAATGCCCCCAAAGGGAGTAGCACTAGTAGGAGGTGTGGTCTTTTTGGAGGAAGTATCACTGTGTGTGTGTGTGGGGGGCTTTGAGTTCTCTTTTGCAAGTTTCCCTCAGTGTGACTCCCAGATGCAACACTTCTGACTACATGCCACCATCCTTCCCGTCATAATGATAATGAGCGAGCCTCTGAAATTGTGAGTGAGCCACCCCAACTAAATGTTTTCCTTCATCACAGCAATACAAACCCTAAGACGTACACTATTCCAATGCGCATGTTTGTGCGCTACCTGTATTTTCCAAAATGTCATTCTGTATTTTGAGGGACTATGATACATTGCATTGAAAAGATAAACAAGATTTAAAACTATCCACACATGTTCAGATGAATATGCATTGGTAAGAATAAAAAAGTCCTATATGCCTATATGTCTATATATTCACATAAAAACTGGCGTTTGAAATGAAGGCATTGCACTTACTAAATTAGTTATTGAGCATGGCAGGAAATTCTGATACACTTGTTTGGTGTATCAAAACTACCTTATATGCCATCCTAGAACCTTCATCCAGTGACTGATGGAAGGAGAGGCATACACCCACAGTTAAGCACTGAACTGAACCCATGGATCCCAGTGACAGAAAGAGAGGAGCGATGAGCAAATTGACAAAGAATGGGTTGGCAAAACCAGCAGAGACAGCTGATCTGAACAAGGGGGAGCTCTTGGACCCGAGACCGACAGCTGGGAAGCCAGCATGGGACTGATCCAGATCCCCTGAATGTGAGAGTCAGTGAGGAGGCCTGGGCAACCTATGGGGCCCTGGGCAGTAGATCAGTGTTTTTATCCCTGGCATACAAACAGACATCGTGTTCATAACACAAAGAGGGATGCTCTCTCAGCCTGGACTCTTAGGGGAGGTGCACCTGGACCCTGCCCTGAGCAAAGTGACAGACTCTGGATATCACATATGTGGAAGGAAGTGGGCATAGGGTAGGAAACTGGGGGTGATGGTGGAGGGGTGCGGGAGAAGGGAAGGAAGAGGGAAGTGGGATTGACATGTGAAGCAAGTTGTTTAAAATTAAAATAATAAAAAAAGAAGTTAAAAAAACTACCAAACATCTGAAAACATCTATTTTTATTATTATTACTAAGAATGACTTAAAAGGATTTTCTTTGTAGGAATTTAGGACTTTCCCTTTAAATCAGTAGCATTCTTTTAAAATACTATAAATTAAATAATAATGTACCCATTTCTTAGTACTTAAAAACAACACCCATGTGGACATGCATATATACACACAATATGACATGAAAACTTTTTTTTTTATTGGAAAATACTTACAATGAATGACACTTAGGACAAAGAAGTTTAACCGACTGGAAAAGTTGTTTGGGCTCATATGACCTCAGTTTTGCTAGGATACGATATTGCTGGGGGGCTTTTTGCTTCAAAACGGCACACAGTGGTGTCTTCTCTAAATAATGGTGATCTGTAAGTGCTGTGAAGAAAGTTTACAATGAATAGGAGTAAATAAAAGTATGGATGTCTTCAGCATGAATTTTCTGAAAGCAAATATATACCATAAAATCAAGTTAACTTCAGCTATGGTCACGATGATTCAAGATGTGCACTTGGCCCATGGATACAAAGCCAGGCGCATAGCAGGAGCCCAGGTGCTAAATAAGCTGGACAAGGGATACTCTACTGTAACACACAGAAGACCCAGAAACTGAGTGGGGTTCGAGCTTCAAGCTTAAGATCCGAACAGTAAAGCGGCCAGCCACTAGGTGCTACCTCTAGTTCAGGCTGAAAGGGCTGATCCATGAGCCCTTCACCAAGCTTCAAACTGCTGTCTCTCCTCAGTGTGGCTGGAGAATAAATACCTCCTACTGACTCTGTCTTGCCTTAAATACCTCTCATGAGTCCTGGGATTAAAGGTGTGAGCTCTGTAACTCTTGTACATTGATTCAATCTTGTGTAGCCCTGGGAGCCCTTGAATTCTTAGAGATCCATCTGCTTTTGTCAAGAATCTTGAGTCCTGGGATTAAAGGTGTGTGCCACCACTGCCTGACCTCTATGACTTTGCTTTCTGAATCCTCAGGCAAGCTTTATTAAATCATAAACTATATATCACTAAATTTTACTTACAAAGTAGGTGTGTAAGTATTTCTGTATGGAACTAACAGAAATTCCCAGGAAAATATTTCTAATGTATGGAAAACAGTAAGGTTTACTTCCCCAATAAAATGAATGGTACTTGTGTAACATGTAAAAATCCTCAGTGTTAATCTCTTAGACAAACCTTTTCAGGCAACAGCTTATGTTCTAATTGAAATTTGATTAAAAGACATTGACAGAAAACATTCACTGAATATTATTTGTCACTTGGCCTTTTGTTCTAGGTATTTCAAATTTGAGACTGTATTGAACTCTCTTTTAGCAAAGAGCAGAATGTGAGCTGGGAATGATTATTAGGCAGAATCCGATTATCACAGGGATGCAGTGTTTGCAAAAGTAGGGATTCATGTTTCAGGTAGAAGGGAGGGATGGTGGAGGAGGGATGCAGAAGGGAATGCGTGGATGCGGAGGGGAAGCGATCAGGAGACCTGAAAACAGCAAAACTGGCTGGGAAACAAATAGAGAAGGTCTGGGATGGCTGGACTGAGCTTCGTCTAAGTAGCTTAATACAGCAGGTGCTACTCGGGCTTTAAGATATTCTAGGGTGCACTTCCCTATTCTAGAAAACAGACTTGTGCACAGCCTTGCAAGCCTCAGACACCCAGGAAAATCACTTCTGTACACAGCTTGAAAACCGTCACTGGCCGGGCAGTGGTGGCGTACACCTTTAATCCCTGCACTAGGGAGGCAGAAGCAGGCAGATCTCTGTGAGTCTGAGGCCAGCCTGGTCTAGAAAGGCTCTAAAGGTACACAGAGAAACCCTGTCTGGAAAAACAAACAAACAAACAAACAAAAACCCTTCAGGGATGGCCATCTCCTTCATGTGGTAAATAGCTGAGGGCGTACAGAGCAATCCTCCCCGGCCAGGCAGACCAGACCAATTTAAAGTAAACACTTGCTTCACTTCACATTCTGGGATAATGTCTTAAAAATTTTAAACCTTTTATGACTCTGAAGAAAAAACTGTGAAAACAACATAAAATTTCCTAAATATGCTTTTAAAAGATTCATAAATAGTTACATACTGGTACATTTACTCTGCTCTCTGGGTCTGCCTCCCTCCCACTATATATGTTGTTACTAAATTAATGGAAACTGCTTCCAGATATCATATCCTGATTCCCCCCAAACACTTCAGCATTTCATCAAAAACAATTTGTCTCCTTCACATAGCTAAGTGCCTGTTAACACAGATTTAACACTACTATGGGGATTATCAGACACTTACCACTCTCCAACTGTCTTTGACTTTCTGCACTAATCCTAAACAATGCAAATTTATCTTCATGTGTTCAGGCTTCAGCTTCAACGACCCTTAGTCTACTTACACGTTTACCTTATGAAACTGACTGGAAAAGCGCAGCTACCTCTTTTGCTGAGTATCCATTTAGACCTGGCTGGTTTTGTCTCACTCTGAGATTCCGATCACACATGTCTGGCACAGAGACTAGACATGACAGTACACACATGACACGACTTCTCACTACATCCAAGGGATAGGTCTATGAGAACGGACCTCCTCCCCTACTCCTCCAGGGGAGGGAAGGAGTGCAGTCAATTAAAGGATGTTTAGCTTACTCTACTCTCAACTAATTGCCCACACTGTGACTAGCAGAGGGCAAATGTGTTATTCTTTATCAAACATTTAGAATCTAGTAGTTTAAAACCTACTCATTCACAATTAAACCATAATTGCCATCATGTTGGCAAAACGATGTTATTTTCTTTTCTTTTTTTCTTTTTTCCATTTGTTAGTCATTCTGGCCCATATCCAACCCCAGTTTACTATTTCCCCATTAACAAGCAGAGTTCATACATCCTGACTTGACTCAATGGATTCTAACCCATCACTAACATTTTGGTGAGCACATTGTCCCAGACAGGCTATTTACTATTAGGTGAGAATGTCTTTATTTTCTAGCAATTCAGAATATTCTTGATTTACCTCTAAATCCCTTGCCCTAATTCTGGAATCTTTTTTTTCTCCAGAGATACCTGGAATATTTTCTAGTCCTGGCTGTCCTGGAACTCACTCTGTAGACGAACTCACATGGAATATTTTCCGAAGCGTATTTTCTGTGTACTACGTATGCTTACTGCTCCTGAACATAACTGCCTCTGCACAGTGTGACTGCAACAATTTCTGTATAACATCTAAAGCCTGAGTATAAGACACCCTCATTTCCAGCTCCTGTTCCATACTTACAGCTTTCTCCAACAGCATTTAATCAACTATTTAATGAACTCCTCATCACAAGTATTTTTTTCTGGATAAAAGCTTTTTACCAACTTAAGTTGAAATAGCAGGGATGCATCTAGTAAAAAGGTACTAACACTGTATGTGGGCACAGGGTAAAGAATTTCTTACATGTACAGCGTCAAATATATTATAGAATTTTATTGAAATTAATGTCATAAAGAATTTATTTCATTTAGCTAAGAACATACTGAATATTACAAATGTTATAAATATTAATTATTCATGACTTCAAACACATATTCAATACAGAAATATGCACATGTATGGGTTCTAACTTACACCACTGAAGGATGAGGCAGGGAAGTAAAAGTTAAGTAAAAGCATTGAGCATCCCCATAAGGATCTACTGTTACTGGTAGGTACAAAGGGATTAGCTGGGACATGCAACACAGGTATCTGTGAGTTGGCTACTGTACCAGAAATGAGCTTACAAAGCAGACTTACTTGTAGCACAGAATTGCTGACATCTTTCTACCTCATACAGTGAGACCAAGTCTGATGTGGAGCCTACAGGAAGAGAAAAGGAAATCACAAACTGTGTAGCTCTTTAAAATGTATTAGAAACTTAATGTAAAACTAAAACGAGGTAACAATACCAGATAAACTAAAGAAAGTCTAAATAAATGTTACAACATCTTTTCCCCCCAATTTATTCACAGATTCAACATAATTCTAAAAAATGTAACAGTGTTAATCACAAAAAAATTGATAGACAATGTCTCTCCTTTCTTCAGGGGAAATTTAGATAATGGAAGATCATGAAAGAGAAGAACATTAGTATATTTATATTACATGAGTTCAAGACACAGTAATCAAGAAACTACAGCATTAATATCAACAACGACAAACCAACAAATCAAAGAGAGCTTAGAAATCAACCCACACTTTGACTGCTGACAAAGAAAGGAAGGTAATTCATAAAGAATACAGTATTTTTTTAAACAAGAAATGCCTTTGCAACTACTACCCCAAAATAAACTCGTATTTAGACCCACTTGATGCTTTGGTAGACACTGAAGACATCTAAACATGAAAAAGAAACACAGTGCTCTAACTAGAAGTTCTTCCATCACTCCTAACACTCAACATCAAGCAATGAGCCACTGACACACATGTTGCATCACACATGAAATCTCATAACACAGTAAAAAGCACACACACACTTCCATTCACTTCTACAGAAAGAACACCTTTGCGAGACCTGGAAGACTCTAGTCTATGCATCAACATCCAAGATGCCTATGAGCAATAACTATGGGTGGTTAAGATAAAAATAAAGGAACCTTTTGTTCTTTTTAGAAACTATAAGTAAAATAGTTGCCTAAGAAATCCAAACCATTTTTTTGTTCTTTTTCAATAAATACAAAACAATATAAACACACTTAAAAGTAAGTAATCACTATTACTCTAATTTGAAAGCATGGTTTCATATTGAAAAATGAAGCAGGCTTAGTTTTGGATATGGTTATTTTAATGAGAATACACATGCACGACCTGTATAGAAATAGGAATTTAAAAAAGAGACACAGGGGAGATAACTGTGCTCACGAAATTAGGAGGAAGTAAAATGTCAGTGTTATAAACCGTCCTTACTTGAAGGTGTTAAGCAGTTGTCCTTATTTTCTGATTGACAGGTATCATTTGAGGGCTGAATGGCTGCCAAATCTGCAGATTCTAAAGCCCTGAAATGCAAAGATATGAAGTCAAATTGCATAAGAAAGTCAATGCAGTAATTTAGCTCTATTCACTAAACCCAGGAGTTCATAAAATTACAAAATTTGGCAGATTCCAGCTTGTAGCAAACTGTCTGAGAACTCCAACACCCTCAAAATTGAGAGAAAAGGTAAAAAAGATATGGAGTGAAGAGTCAGTCAGTAGAATACCACAAAAACAATCAAACAAAATGCCTGGGAATTTAATAGCTAACACTGGCAGTTGAGATGATGTCACTCAAGTTTGGAAACGTAAGCACCATCAACTAGGAACACTGCCTCTTAGTGTAGACAAAGCCCCCACTCACCCCCATAGTTCTACCCGGCAGCCCCCTTTAGCCCATCCACCTTCATTCTTTTATGACTCCACTGACCAGTAGAACCCTCTCTATGAGGGACCCACATTCTTATCCCTGTCCTCTTCGTTTTAGTCTTCCCATTGACCTTTAGTCCCTCCTCCCTGTTCACATCTCCCTTGGGACTCAGGGTCTCGGTGCAGACCCAGGTCCCCACTAATTTCAAAACGGCCTCCTCAGCCTTTACTTCTAGTCCATCTTCATTCCTTTATGATTCCTTGCCAACCAGAACAGCTTTCTCTCTACAAGGGACACAGCAGCCATCACATCACTAGGACTCAGGGATCCCAGAGCTACCACAGTTGGCTAGGATACAGACTGAGCAAAAGAAATCAAAGAACAGAACACCTACCCAACAGACAAGACCAGATATCTACACCAAGAAATACCTCAAACATCTTAACTCCAGATGCGTAATCACAGCACCGACACACAAACATAAACACCCAAGACCATATGCCTCCCTCAGAGGTAACAACTCTATTGTAATGTGCTCTGAGAAAAGCAAGCAAAACAAGCGCTTAAAAATAGCAATCATGAATATGTTTAATGACCTGAAAGATGGTAGGAATAAATGTCTTAATGAAGAATTTAAAATAATTAAAACAATTAAAGACACGAAAGTAGAATTTAATAAAGAGAATTACTAAAGAAAAACTAAACTCAAATAAAACTGAAAATGAGAAACTAAGGATGTCAAACAAAAATTTTCCAGGTAAGCTTCATCAACAGAGTACAAGACACGGAAGAGAGAGCTTTTGGTCTTGAAGACGAGGGAGAAGAAACTGACAAGATGAGTCAAAAAAAAAAATTCAGGCACAAAATATTCAGCAAACTGGGACACTATAAAAAGATCTTTTCCATGAATAATAGGAATTCTCGAAGAAGGATGAAACTGGGTCAAAGCACAAAAAATATTTTCAACTAAGGAATATCAGAGAATCTCCCCAATCTAAGGAGATGTCTATCAAAGTATAAGAAGTATACAGAACACCAAACTCTTGATATTAATGGCCTCAATTCCTCAATACTAACCGCCTGGACTAGAAAACAGGATCCATCCTTTTGCTGTATCCAAGAAACACACCTTCACACCTTAGCATCAAGAAACACACCTTCACACCTTAACATCAAGAAACACACCTTCACACCTTAACATCAAGAAACACACCTTCACACCTTAGCATCAAGAAACATACCTTCACACCTTAGCATCAAGAAACACACCTTCACACCTTAACATCAAGAAACACACCTTCACACCTTAACATCAAGAACTGATACCACTTCAGGCAAAAGAATAGGAAAAGGTATTTCAATCAAATAGACCCAAGATGCACTTATTTTAATATCTGACAAAATTGAATTTAAACCAAAACTAAACAGTGCCTAAGATAGGAAGGTACTACCACATTCAAAGGAAAAATCCAAGAGTGTGTTGCAATTTTATATAGTTATGCATCAAACTAAGGGGCCCAAGTTCACAAAAGAAACACTACTACAGCTAAAACAACATACCAACCCTCACACAAAGTAGTGGCTGACCTCAATCCCTCACTCCTGACAATAGACAGGTCATGGAGTTAAATAACTCACAAGCTAAATGGATCTAACAGAATTTACAGAACATTCCACACTAAGAAATATACTTTCTCTTCAGCAGCCCATGGAATTTTCCCCAAAAGTAACTACATATTAGGACAAAAAACAAGTCTCAACAGACACAGGAAAACTGAAATTATACCCTGTATCCCATCTGACCTCTATGGAATAAATCTGAATATCAACAACAGAAACAACAGAAAACTTATGAATTCATGGAAATTGAACTAAAGAAAATTGGGTCAAGAAAGAAATTCAGAATGAAATTAAAAGCTTTATAGGACTGAATGAAAATACAACATACCTAACCTTATGGGACACAACGAAAGTGGTTCTTAGAGGCAAATTTAGAACATATTATCAAAAAATTGGAGAAATTTCATATAATTCTGTAAAGATACCCTTAAAAGCTCTAGAAAAAAACAAGATGGGAACCAGTTAGCCTCTTGCCCTACCTATCGTAAAACTTTTAGATCACAGGATGTGCTAATTAACCTTACCTAACCAGGTGATAGTCCCTGCCTTCTTCAAGGCCCTTTGCTTCAAGACGGCCTTGTATGGAAACTGTGTGCTAAGCAATCTCCATAACCCTGGGAACTGAGACTTGTGGTCTCATGATTCCCCTCCCCACCTTCCCTTTAAAAGCTTCTTTTTGGCTGGTTGGGATCTCACCTCTCTGCCATGGGGTGAGATCCAAGCTGGCCAGCTTGAACAATAAAAAGAAACCTTTTGCTTTTGCATCAGAAGTATTGACGCCTTGGGTTAGTCTCTGGGATTCCGCAAAGCTAACACAACACAAAGCTTTTTGGTTTGTTTTATTTTTTGGGTTCACTCTTTGCTTTGTTATTTTCTGTCTCTGTTGATTTTCTTCTTGTGTTTATATGTGTGTTTTGATTTGTTTTCCTGTTTGTTTTAATGTTTTTTTCTTTTTCAGAAAGAAAGAACATGAAGCTGGATGGGGAGAATCTCAGTGGCCCAGTCTGCCTACTCAGGGCTAGAGTCTGAGTTAATTCTCTGCAAAGAAAAGAGAAACGGGAAAAAGACGAAGGCCTCACACAACTCAGGAACGATGATGCTACCTTGTAAATTAACCTAGTGATGACCACATTTATATTTTCAAAGCGGGGATATAAAATACTCACCTTTTCAGCTGATCTACGTCGGGGTTACTTTCTGGTAAGACCCTGATCCCCCGGCCATAGCTGGTCCCTCCATGAAGATGAAACTCCATCCTTATCAGTGAAGTCATGGACTCTGAACTAACTGGCTGAAGTTTGGTATGGAGGCTGTAGATTCTAACGAAGCTTCCAATCTTAAAGATTATGTAAGAGTATCGTTTCAGAAAAGGGGCCTAATGAAAACAATTTCTTATATTTGAAACTTTCATAACCAAAAGGAGCTAGTAACTTCAACAACCAAGGACAACATCTAACCAGAGAATAGTGACAGCAGGACAGCACTGTGACCTACCATCAGCTTCATGGATTTCGTGTCAAACCGTGTGTGTAGGGGCAGGCTTGTGTACACACCAATGTGTTCATTGCACAACACAAGCAGGCCCTTTCCAGAGGTCCTTCAATAAAATATACTGAAGGACCACAAGGCCTACATAAAATTCTTTTTGATAGTTCTTTCTGAAAAGAGTTTGCTTGAAAAAACTCAAAATGAGATTAAATAAGAGGAATAAAATCTTCCCACTATGAGACACTAGAAAACTTTAATCATGTCACTACATGAAAGTGACTTCTACTTTTGTCACTGGTTCATTTTCCTGATAGCCACAGTCTTCTGATTGCTGGGATTATATGGACGTGCCACCATGTGCTTTTCCCCATCCTACAAAGTCTATGGAAATCAAAAGTTTTAATAAAGCACTTGCACCTTCATCACGATCTGGCAAAGCATATTCTAGAAACTGAAATACAGGATTAAGCCAGAACTCTGAAGTAATGACTCTAGAGTCAATCTCAGCTATTTTGCCAAATTTGGTCCGAAACGTTTGCTAGAGAACTTAAGCTATGGGGGAACACTGTTTATCGTTTATGGCATGGGCTCAAACCCAGCCAGGCAATGTAAACTGTAGTGACATGTATGTATATGTATGGACTAAAGGACTGCAAACAAGGACACTGTCGCTCGCTTGCATGAAAATAGCTAGCATTCCTGACTGCAGCAGGTGAGTGAGAAGCCACCTACCTCTTTTTCCTGTAAACCCTGCTGAATCATTGTGCTGACTACTCCAATAGAAAAGAGGTATCAAATGGAAGGAGAGGGAGGGGGTGGGAAAGGAGAGAGACAGAGAAGGGGGGGGCAGTGCAACCCAGCTTCCACTTGGCTAATCTTAGCTCTGATGGAGCACAACAATGGAGAATGAGCAAGGGACGGAGATCCACTGTCCCATCACCGCTCTGGGGGTCTTTCTTGCCGGTCCCTGTGGGTTTTATGAGGGCAGGAAGGCAGAAGGAGCTGTCTATTCCACTATCCCCCAACTTCCTTTCCCTGATCCCACGTCCTGGTTGGACTGAAGAATATAGTTTCAGAAAAACAAAACAAAAAGGAAAAACAAGGGAAATAAATATTTTCTAAGAGAGACACAAAGGGAGCTACTAGGAGAGTAAATAAAGCAATTTCTATTTTACATGATTTTTGAAATGTTTTTTACTTTTTATTAGTAGAACAGATATTTCTAACCATCAAAGGACCAGAAAAAAGGCTAAATTTGGAGAGTAAAGAATTACATTAACAGAGGCTTAACTATCAAAAACATAATTTCCTTCCCATTAACTTTTAAATCTAAGAAAATTAAGAGTCAGAACTTCAGTGTCTTTCATGAATGACATCTGAATTTTTTTTCTAAAAATGAGCATGAAAGACAAAGGCGAAGATCATTCTGGAAAGCAAGCAAGAGGCTGAGGTCGTGGGGGCACCAGAAGGTCCCAGGTGTGGCTTGACTTTGGAGGAGTCTGAAATACCTGTGGTCAAATCTCCAGGAGGAAGTGTAAACAGTGAATGCGTGGTTGTCTATTACCCTTCACCGCACTGTACTATTAACAAGATCACAGAGTAAAGATGGCAAGTTGCTATTATCAGAAATGCTTCCTAGAGACAATGCTGTATCTCGTTAGAGCTTGAGTAAATGTTATTATGAAATGTGCCTGCTGCTTATTAGTTGCTTCGTCTGGTCAATAACGCAGTAAGATTTTATAAGCAGAGAAATGACAATAAAAACACAAAAGTGTAGTTTAGTCTGTTACAATAGTCTAACCAATATAGAACTATCAAAAATAAGAATGTTCCCACCAAAAAAAAAAAAAAAAAAAAGAGAGAGAAGAAAAAGAAACAAAGAGGAGAGAGAAAAAAAACAACTACAATATCTTTATTTTCTCCTGTAGCCAAACTACAGTTACTGGTCCACTAAAGGCCAAGATGTAGTAACAAGTATGTATGCCTTATACTGTTTTCAAGATTGTATCAAGACAAGAGTATGTATTTAAAAAGTATGGTTCTAGCTTCTTATAGGCAAAAAGTTTAAAATGTCATTTTATATTTGCATATCTGTAGAAAACACTAGGATATTATAAGAATAGCTTAATTTAAAAAGAATTTCACAGAGAACCTGAGCTGGAACTGACCTGAGGGCCCCCTCCCTGAAGACGGGCTATCATGGTACCAGAAGGTACAATGTGAGCTTCCAAAGGGGAGAAGCAACCAACAGTCCTACCCAGCTATGATGTCTCTGAACTGTAGCAATGACCAGCATGCACAACAAAAACCCTCAATATGCAGCGCTGGCATGCACAGTTTAGAGGGAGCCCACAGTTCTCTAGTTGGATTTAATGCCAGCTTCACAAAAGGGAAACCATGCCAGGTACTGGACACTTAGCCAACTACCCAGGGCTAGTGAAGACACAGATTTTGGAAGAGAACCTACAACTGCTACTTTAGTAAACCAGCATAATCCTAACTATGCTCTAAATATCTGTCCTTATACCCACAAGTAAGTGTAGTTATCACCACTCAAGGAAACTTCCTTAGAATGGACAAAGATCATTACAGAAAAACCACAAGCAAAATGTAGAACTGTATGGTCTAGTCCTGATAAATACACACCTACAGCACAAGTCTTGTACCTAAAGTTCAGGGGTCATTTCAGAAGACAGGGAATAAATATTATAAGAGACATAGGAACTGGAAGTTTATGGTGACAATGTGTCTCCTAGAAATGTAAGAGAATCTAAACTCATGAAGTCTCATCACCAAGGCTGCCTAAACACGAGCTGAACAGGCAATTAAGGAGACCAGAGAGTGGGAGAAATAGTCTCCGGGAACAAGCACACCAATTAGCTATCAAATAACAAATGGGCAGCATTAAACATGAAAGCAGACATACAAGTAATATCATACGGGTCAAACAGACAGTATTTACATATTTATGACTCACACTCAATCACACACTCATTAACAACAAAGAAAAGGAGACCAAGAATTTGAAGGAAGCAAGTGTGAGGGTTACATGGGAGGGTTTGGGGGAAGGAAGCGGGTAAATCATGTTATATAATTACATTCTCAAATAAAGATTACAACGAGAGAATTTGTGTACCCTTAGGATGGGTTCAGACCTCACTCTAACTTAGACACACATGTTTTATAAACTTAAGAGCTGAAAAGAAGTAAATTTGAAATTAATTTCTAGACTCTAAATAACAAATCTGCAAAAAAATTATATGAACAAAAAATACAACTAATTACAACCTAAAAAAACATAGCAACAAAATAATATGCATCTTTCTAGTTAACATCACCTTCAGGGATTTTGCCGTGTGGACATGATTATCATAAACTACAATGTCTATCACCAGATCCTGTAGCCGCAGAATGTGACTTAAGTCACCTTCGAAAACAAGGTCTTGTATACAGACTCTCCAAGAGGGAAACTTCGTCATGGTGCCATCCCAGACCTGCCATTGGGAGGTAAACAAAGCTTAAGAATCAACATGTAAAAACAGAACCAAATTTAAAAATGAACAGATGTACCCTGATATCCTTAATCCTTTAAAAGGTGATTTCCATCATTCTGTGGTTGTGATACAACTCAACATGAACTGTAGGTCATATCAAAAATGTAGAAAGATGTGAAGACAAAAAAAAGAAAGAAATCGCCATATGACACCACACAAAACATTAACCTGCTGTAATCTGACTTTTTCCCCCCTATTCTATGCTCAAACACTCCTGGCTCACACACACACAGCCCCAGCTCTAGGGTAGGAATAACTTCTGAGTTACTACCAAAAACAAAGACATGAGATGAAATAAAATTATTAAAACCATGAGATTCCACGTTTCAAACTGAGTAACAAGAAAGCATGGTATGCTTGAACAAATTACAACTGAAAAGCTTTGTTCAGCACCTTCATTATACAAACAGAGTAACAGAAAAAAAGGGTGAAATCATTTTTTAAAGGTTTTTAAAGATTACTGAGGGCAGGAAAGCTGACTCAATAGTCGACAATGCATACTGCTTTTTCAGATGCCATGAATTTGGTTTCCACCACCCATGTCAAATATCCTACAACCACCTGTAACTCCAAGCTTAGGGGATCAGACACACTCTTTTGTTTTTTGTTTGTTTTTTTTTTGTTGTTGTTTTTACAAGACAGGGTTTTATGTATTGTTTTGGAGGCTGTCAGTCCAGCCCGGCCTCCAACACACAGAGAATCGCCTGCCTCTGCCTCCGGAGTACTGGGATTAAAGGTGTGCACCACCACTGCTGGGCCAGACACACACTTACGGCCTCACCTGTACAAATGTGCACATTCCGACGCATATATATGTAATAAAAAAAATAGATTCTTAAACCACTGGTAAAACATGGTGTTCTGGCTAACTTTAACTGGCAACTTAACACAGCCCAGATTCATCTGAGAAGAGAGCCTCACTATTCTGCCAAGATCAGACTGGCTTGTGTGCAGGGGTCTGTTTTGATTGTTAATGGATACAAGAAGGCCCAGTTCTGTGGGTAGCATCATGCTTAGGCTGGTAGTCCTGAACCAAGTAACAAACCTAGCTGAGCATAAGGTGGTCTATAATTCAGTGAACAAGTGGTAGCACCCTCATGATTTCTGCCACACTTACTGAGTATGCGTGAAGTCTCCATTTGGAATATAGAGGTAACTTGGTGTGGTATAGCAAGTTTCAAGTTCCTGGCTGAGTACCTGCCCTGACTTCCTCTGGACTGTGACCTGGAAGTATAAACCAGATAAACCTTCCCTTCCCTAGGCTGCTTGTGGTCAGTGGCTTAAATGATGCTAGAACACATGGACGCTGAGAAAACCTGAAACGGATGCATCACAATTACTAAGAAGGGGCCTCAGTTAGTACCGTACTAAGGCTGGAAGAGGAAATAACTCTTCTGCTCGTGGGAATGCTGCACTGCAGGGAAACGCCGTGTGCTGAGAGTCATGCTGGTCAGGGAACCTGGGTGACTTACCTAACTGTAAGTGACATACGCCGCTTCCAGTTCAGTGCAGACTTCCTTCCTTTACTTTCCCTAGATGAAGTTTCTCACAGAACTGTTTCCGTAAGGCTGCTACTATAAATTAGTGTTTCTTTTCAACATGCCAGCACTACCAGCAAGCTCTGAGTCTTGTCTAAGCACCACAACACTCCAATGCTTGTCTGATTATCACAAGTGACAGAGAATCAAGCACACGGCCTTGGTCAAAGCAGTACTGCTCAAAATAATCCTGTACAGTGCTGCCAAACAAGGGATATGATTAAGTAACGACCTTCGGCAGGTCATTCGTGGGCATTCATGTTACTGTATTTTTTTTTACTGATTGATTTAAAAACAAGAATGACAAGGAACATCTTAGTGTTATCTATGCCCCTCCCATGAGCTAGGCAGTGATGACAGGGGACACAATTTAATGAAACAGACCCTGATAGAAAAGGGGTGGCTGATCAAAGAAGAGGCAGACTCCCTTGGTTAAGTACTGAGCTGAACTCAAGAAAGCCAGTAACAGAGAGGGAGGACTGATGATCAAAGGGATTAAGACTGAGCTGGTTTAACCCCCAGAAACAGCTGACCAGACAAAGGTTAACTCTTGAATCCCAGGCATCAGCCTGGGAATCCAGCATGGGACTGATCAAGACCCCCTGAATCTGGGTGTCAGTGAGGAGGCCTAGGGAATCTATTGAGCCTTGGGCAGCAGATCAGTACCCATCCCAAGTATACACACGGACTTTGGACTCCCATAGAACAATGTGAGGTGCACTCTCACCCTGAAATCTTGGGGAAGGGTCTAGGCCCTGCCCTATATGAAATGACAGACTATGGACACCCCCATGGAGGGCCTCACCCTCCCTGGGGGAATGAGGGGATAATGGGGGGGGGGAGATGGGGGGAGGACACGGGAGGAGGGGAGGGAATGGGAGAGGGACCTGGAACTGACTTGTGAAGCAACCTCGCTTCTTATCTAAATTTAAACTGGAAAATAAAATATATAAAAAAAAAAAGAAAATGGGTGACAACATAGCCAACTTTCACAAAGCAGCAGAAACACACAGGAGAGTCGCTAAAGAGAACTCTGTGTTTCTTATTTATAAGATAAGAAATAAATGCAGCATGTCACATAGTTTGTAAAATACACGTTTGACAATACTGTTTTCTCTGGAAGGGAAGCGCAGAGAAATGCAGGAGTACAGTATCGGGAATTTTAACTCAGAGTTCTGCAGACTTCTTACTGACAGGCGCACTAGCGCATGGCTCCAAGTATTTAAAAATGTACCTTTAGAAGGAATGATGCTCCATCCACTTGTGCTTTGCCCAGGAGCTGGCAGGTCAGGTCACAATACTGCATAGGTTGGGCGTCAGAGAGCTTCAGTGAGGTGGAAGAAGCTGGGACATGCGTGGATGCCCAAGCCCGTAAGGCTTCTACCATATTGTGGTCCCCAACGGTGAAGCTAAAGCTTGTGCTTGAAGTACGCTGTATGACAGGAGACCCTAAGGCGCCATCAAAAGCCAAAGATGCAAAACCATAGTGGCTGATTCCCTGAAGCTCCCTTTTATATAACTGGATCTAAGAACATGGGACAAAGCAGAAAACAGACAAGATAGATGAAGCTGAGAAGTGGGGAAATGCTACTATTTCTTACTGAATTAGTTCATGAAACAATGCAACCAACGGATACTCTATCAGGGTACACAAGAATCAAAACTTAAACAGTAACATTTATACTTTTCAAAATAGCAGTTAATAGTTATCCTGATTCTACCAAACTTGCATTCTTTTTTTTTTTTTTTTTTTTTGGTTTTTCGAGACAGGGTTTCTCTGTGGCTTTGGAGGCTGTCCTGGAACTCACTCTGTAGACCAGGCTGGCCTCGAACTCACAGAGATCCGCCTGCCTCTGCCTCCCGAGTGCTGGGATTAAAGGCGTGCGCCACCAACGCCCGGTTCCAAACTTGCATTCTTACATTTAAATGCTTAATTTATTCAAGTCGAATTGTCACTAGAGGAAAGGATAATGTGGTACAGTGAAATCTAGAACCAAAAGCGTGTGAAGCAAGCACACACAGCACAGGATAAGTTACCGTTATTACTGAGTATGCTGGGTCAGGATGGACTTTCCCTGCAGAAGTCTGCAGGCTCGTCTACTAAATGTACAACCATCAAATATGTGGTGTTCGTGTTTCCTTCACAAACTGACTATTGCTCACATAAAATTCTCCCTTTCTCTTCACAAATCTCTGCTAGTACTTCATGTCTGATAGTAAAAAATAATTATTTCATTTTCTTGTTGCCTTTTTCCTACGTCTTTATATTCAAAAGTGCACTTTTGAATGGAGCACAAGATTTCTTGATATTTATATATTTATACTTTCCTGGTAGTCAGGACATACTCATTCTAAAATCATTACTGACACAGGCCCAGGAGCTCTGCACAGGGCTGATTTCCTTCTGTCCCCGTCTGTGTTCCTCTGGTATTCCTAGGGTTCCATTATGTCCCGGGCATAAATAGCTCCTCATGCCTAAGTGGGTGTCGAGTCACGACTTTTAGCACCCTCTCTGCTTTCTACCCCACTGCCCTCTGCACACTCTACTACACGATGGCACTTGGTGCCACTGTCACCCGACATGATCGCTCTTGCTCAAAATAGTCACTTATCCCAGTGAAATTACTAGAACAATAACAAAAGAGCTTCATATTTATTCACTCTCAGTTTTGCCATTTCTTAACAAGTTTCTAGTTGGAAAGGTTTCACTTTACTGAAGCATATTTTATTTAGATAAAAAACTAGGCAAATGAATTCTTATCAAAAACCATTGCTACTCTTCTCTCATACGGAATATGGGTTCTCTCTGAATTGGACTTTTCAAGATGGTGTATATGCATGTATATGTATACATATTGTATATATGTATACATATCCCCATTCACTTCTTTTCTCCTTAACTACATGTTAGTTATACTACTGGATGTTGTCCCGAAGGCCCACTGTGGTCTATATATTTTTTATCTAGTACTGGTTCTTCATACCTGGTAATGTCTTGGATTGGATCTGTCTTCAATGCCTAATATATATTAACCTTCCAGTAGACTTTTCATTTGCTTGTGTTTTTAGATATTGAATTTCTATGTTTCCTTTTCAGAGTCTATTATTCTTTTACTACTTATTTTCTTTTACTCATTTGATATTTTTTAATTTGCTGAAATTACTTTGCTTAATCTTTTGGAAAAAAATTACAGTATCTACTGGGAAATCACTGTTTAATAGACTTGATATCTGGGCCCTGTGGAATTCCTTTGGAAAGTCCAACTGCTTTTTAAAAACTCTCTTCTTCTAAGCTCCTCTACTTGTGTCTAGTGGTTTTTTATTTGTTTGTTTGTTTCTCTTTTGGTTTTTCTTCTTGATTAGACGCTGTAGTAAAACACTGCAAAGGCTCTGAATTATGTTACTTCTTCTTGAGGGGCAGTTTTGTTCATTGTGGCCAGTTGCTAGCTGAGCTCCGGAGACAGACAAAATATTGAGTTTACGCTTTCTTAGAGTGAATTTGCAGGAAGCACACGGTTTTCCCAAAGCCCTTCCTCCTCAGTGGGACTCACCCTGCAAACAGCCTTCTTTGTGGAATCGTGTAGGTTTTAACAGAAGCTTTTCTACGGGGTGACAGCCTTTGTGAATAAGGCAGGACTTTGTGTGCAAGGCCGGCCACATGCTCCCGTGCCAGCAGCCCTGTCGGTGGCCACTGTGGAGCACTGGGGCTAGGTTGTTGGAACGAGGGACCTACCACCCTTATTATTAGTGTTGTTTCCTCTGCTTCCTGCTCTGGCCCATGTGGGGAACAATGCCAATATCTCTACCATGAAACTGACCCAAACTGATCTTTTCATAAGTTGCATTTGATAACACTTTGTCACAGTAATAAGGAAAAATGATAGTGCTAAAGAGGTTAAGGTGATGTATGCCTCACTAGGCTGGCCCCAGAGCATCCTGCATCGTCCCTACTGCTACTCCTCTCCCGTTCTCTGTTCTTGCAATCCTCAAGTGATCTTGTCCTGCCCATACAGCATAGCTTTCAGTCAAGTCCTCATGGGCAAAAAGCAGACCCTGGAACATACTGTAGAGACTTTTCTCTCTAGTGCTGTGGCCAGAAGAGTCAAGTTCTTTTGGTTGAACTGAATTTTAACCTTCCCCTTCCCAGCTTAGCAGGACTACACAGCTCACACTTCAGGAGTCCAAGTCAGACAGGGCAACAGTAAGACCCCAACTGAAATAAAGTCAAACTAAATAAGATGAAGTTACGAGAATGTATGCTCCTGTCCTTGACAAATTCCACATGGAAACTTGACAACATCAACCATATTTGAGAGGACAAACGAGAACGAGTCTGAATCATAGCTGCCAATGTATGCTTTGGGAAAGACAGCAGGTAATTCACTTAAATGACTGATAACTGATACCATTTACATTTCTTGTCTTCTGGAATGTATACTGTCTCTCTCTAAGAAGGCAGCTACATAGTTAGTACTAGATACTTTTGTTGAACAATGGAGACTACTTGTCTAATAAATGTACAATGTACAAAGTATGAATCATACCTTTAGCCCACGGAAGCAAACAATATCTCCAACTTTATAAATGACTGGAAGGTCTTCGTAGTTCCTACTAAAGAGCATGCATGTTAACTTCACATTTGTCTGGTCCACAATTGTTACAACTGAACAATAATCTGGGAAACAAAAATATTTAACACAAATTAATTTATACTTCAAATCATGTATAAAATAAGAATATGTTGATGTCAGAATGCCAAATATTACTCTTCTCTATTATTGTCTTTTCAGAAAAAAAAAGCAATATCACTGTGAAACTAATCCACAAAAATTAACCTTAAGACAAGCAATGAAACAAAAATAAATATTCTGGGGCTGGAGAAATGGTTCAGTGGTTAAGAGCACTAGCTCTTCCAGAGGACCCGGATTTGATTCCCAGCACCCACATGGCAGTTAACAACTGTCTGTAACTCCAAGATCTGACACTCTCACAGACACACATGTAGGCAAAACACCAATTAAAATAAAAATAAACTATTTAAAAAATATTCTGAACTATTTTTTCTAGAGAAGATATAACTTTTTCATCACTTCAAAATCAAGAAGGTGGAGAAACAAATCATTCCCACCAAGTATCCAAACAAATAAATTAATATAGATATTTAAATGGACGAATATGTAAGAGTCAATAAGAAAAAAGGAAGCAATGATGTTCACAAGGAATAACATCTCCATAGTAAAAAAGTTTGATCTAAAATATTCCTCTTCTGAAAATACTGACATCTGGAGGCGGGGCACCGGCACTGTCATACTTAGGATCCACCTGTTGTATCTCAAGAAATCAAATGTACAACCAGGGTAGGAGAGGTCTTAGTTGGAGCTTCTATTGCTGTGATGAAACACTATGGCCAAAAGCCACTTGGGGAGGAAGAGTTTATTTCAGCTTAGGCTTCCAGATCACAGTTTAGCACTGAGGGAAGTCGGGGCGGGAACTGGAGGCAGGACTGAAGTCAAGGCCATGGGTGAAGGATGCTCACAGGCTTGTTCCCATGGCTTCTTCAGCAGCCTTTCTTATCCACCCAGGACCACCCGCCACCACCCACACTGGGCTGAGTTCCCCAAATCAACCTTGAAGCAAGAAAACACTCACAGACTTGCCAATCTGATGGGAGTCATGCTCCAAATTAAGACTGCTCTCTTTCCAGATATATCTATATTCGTGTAAAGATGACAAAAACCAACCCACCGAGGGCGGTAATTCCCCAGATTAAAAAATAATATGCATCCAGCAGCATCATTTATGACTTCTCTTTTTGTACATTATTTTTACAAAACTTAATTCTTTAATTCTGAAATTGAAAGTACTTTTTGAGTAATATATTCTTATCCGTTTTTTTTCCCTTTCCTCAACCTCTCTCAGATCCTCCCTACCCAAATCCACACCCTTTCTTTCCCTATCACATTAGAAAACAGGCAAAATCAAAAGCAGAATAGAACAAAACATAAGAAAAAGAGTCAAAGAAAAATCATAAGAAACACAGAGAAGCATGTACACTCACATACAGAAATACCATTAAAAAAACAAAACCAGAAAGCATAATATATAAACCTGTAAGAAAACAAAACAAATAAAACCAGACAAAGCATTATCACACACACACACACACACACACACGCACGCACGCACGCACGCGCGCACACACACACACACACACACACACACACACACACACACACACACACCCTCCTAAAATACCATTGCGTTCAGAGTGCATTTGTCATCTATTGCTGGCATGGAGCCTGGCCTCAACTGCAGTTTATATACCCAGTGATACTCTGCTGGAAAAATCTAACCTTTTTTTTTTATGAGCAGCTGTCAGTTGGAGATAGCTTCCGTGTTAGGGATGGGGGCTTGTGTTCACTTCCCCTCTCATCACTGGGCACCCATCTGGTCTAGACCTGTGCAGGTCCTGTGCACGCTGCCACAGTCTCTGTGAGTTTATATGTTCATCAGTTCTTATGTCTGGAAGGGCTGGTTTCCTCGCATTCTTTCCGTCTCCTTTTCCACAGGGTTCTTAGGGGCCAAAGGGGAGGGATTTGATGGAGACATCCCATTTAGGGCTAAATGTTCCAAGAGCTCTGTGCACTGTCTGGCTGTGGATCTCTGTTTCAGGTCTCATCTGCTACAGGAGGAAGCTCCTCTGATGATGGCTGAACGAGACATGGATCTATGAGTCTAGCAGACCCCCATGAGCTAACAGGGGTCGTGTTATTGCTATACTCTGTTAGCATAACAGTAGTAGTTTTCTCCTAGGTTCATGGCCCATCTAGTCTCAGGTTCTTGGCCACCTGAAGACTGTCAGTCATGGGTTCCATCTCATGGAGTAGGCCTTAAACCTAATCAGACAGTGGCTGGTTAGTCCCACAACTCTTGCTCCAGAGTATCATGCAGACAGGCCATCACTGCAGATCAAGGGATTTGTTTACCTTTCTCCTCTTATAGCATGCAAAGTACTTTCCAGCACCTGAACACTAGTGAGTAAGAGTGAAGACTATGCATACAGAAATATGTATCTAAAACACTTAGGCAATTATTCTTCCCATATGGCATTACCATCCCTGTCTTAGCTTATTATTGCTGCTAACAGACACCATGACCGTGGCAAGCCTTATAAAGAAAACATTTTAATTGAGGAGGCTCCTTCCAATTTCAGTGGTTTGGTAAATTAACATCATGTCTGGGAGCATGGAGGCATGCAGGCAGAGGTGGTGCTGGAGCACAGAGTCCTACATCTTGACTCAGAGGCAACAGGAAGTTGACTGACTCATTGGATGGTAGGTATCCTGAGTATCTGAAATCTCAAAGCTTGCCTGACAGTGATGCCCTTCTTCCAAAAAGGCTACCCCCACTCCAAAAGCCACCTCCTAATAGTGCCACTCCCTATGAAATGATGGGGCCAAACACAACCAAACTACCACAGTCCCCAAAGTACTTTCTAAAGCAGTTGCTGTTTCTCAAACCCCACCCTATGCCTAACTCTGCAGCGGGGTTTTCACACACTACAAAAGCTGCTGCTGGAACCCACCATGCTGTAGCTAGAGTTGAAGCCACATCTTTTCAGTTTTAGCTCATTTCTTACTAATGGTGAAAACAAGGAATTTTGTAGTCAAACATGTGGCTGCTTTGCCAGAAACAATGGTGTACTTTGATAACCTGCCACTTATACAAAGAATCTTCACTGAGGCTAAGAGGAGAAACCTTGGTTACCAGCATGCGCACGCGCGCACACACACACACACACACACACACACACACACACACACACACACACAAAGACCGTAGTGCTGCCTTCCTATATAAATAATACCACACACCCATAAAGAGTCATATTGATGACAGAATGGCATCTTAAAGAATCCAAAAGAATCTGGGCAACTGTGGCATATGCCTTTAGTCCCAGCACTTGGGAAGCAGAGGCAGGTAGATCTCTGTGTGAGTTCGAGGCTAGCCTGGGCTACAGAGGTAGTTCCAGAACAACCAGGATTATACAAAGAAACCATGGCTCAAAAAAAAGGGGGGGGAATCTAAAAGGAGAGCAAGGGAGATATCTTGGTCAGGGAGGTGCTTGCTGAGTAACCTTGAGTACTCATGTTTGATCCTGAAAACCTATATGTGCAACAAACAAGCAACCAAAAAAACTCAGGTGTGGTGGCATTTGGTAATAGATAAGCAATCTGTGTGATTTTCCCTGTTTCTACACTCTCAGCTTTCCTCAGTTGCCTGTAATTCTTTATGTAGGGTTGAAGTCTCATGGGCTTTTCCTGTTTGCTTTGGTGTGTCTCTGGTTCAGCTCACATTTGGGCAGTCAGTTGGCGAGACTTGACAGGTGCAACCTCTGGTGTGATCTACTTCATAATCATCCCCACATTTAACAGTCTTCACACAGTCATCTGTCGGGTCCCAGCCCCCACAGGGTTTCTGTGAGTCGCTGGTCAGTCAGCAAACCCACCCTGTTTTCCAGTCTAAGTGCATCCTGTTTTCTAGTCCTGGCTTACTGCTCCCAACTTGCCCCACTAACATTAACATGTAGCACAAGGAAAACACAATCTCTTCCACTGTCCTGTAAGCAGAAGAGAGGGAGACAGGGAGTGAAGAAGAGAGGGAAAGAGGGACAGAGGGAGAGAGACCGAGAACTCTTGGAACTTCCAAGACACAGGTGTGACACATACACACACGCATTCTCCAGGCAATAAAGGTAACAGATGCATTCTCTTAGCACAAACAGTTGGACGTCTTGTATTTCATTTTCCGATATCTCAGACGCCACAGTCATCCCCAGAGAAAATCAATGTATTGTACATTGGTAAAAATAAGAATATGAGATCCCTTGCTTTTTCAGCCCACTAAAGCTCATTCTTACATATATTTGAAGACTGATTTTTTTTTCTTTTCCTATTTAAAAAAAGAGCCTCTGGGATTTTTTTAAGATTGTCGTATTTCTTCACATTTCTTTGAAGATTGTAAACTTCTTATGACTACTGAGCCTTGCTATCTATGGGCATAGGACATTGTTTCGCTTGCTTGTGTCACCTCTAACTGATCCCAGAAATATTCTGTACTGTTCAGAGCACAAGCCAAATAAGGTCATACCTACCTACACTACAGTATTGACGCTGTTCTAAATCACAGTGCTTTGTTACCCTATGAAACTGTTATTCAATGATGTGCAGAAAGGCAACTTATGTAATGCTAAGTTTGAACATTGTAACGTTGGTGGATTCTTCTATTAGCTCTCAATGGCACTGTTTGGCATGGTATTTAATGTTTTCTACTTACAAAGTTGCATTCTTTACAGACACAATTTAATTTCTTCTTGCCCAATTAGCTGTCACTGTTTACACCCCAGCCCTCCCTCAACCATTTTGCTAAGACTAGCACCATGCTGAATACAGCAGCAAAACGCTGACCATACCTGATAATCTGCCCTTTTTACTGACTGGCATTAATGTTGCTGTGAGACTCATACGTTGAGGTGAGGTGAAGTTGAGATAATTTCTTATATACAGTCTACAATGAGCTTCTTTAATGACAATCCTTGATTTTTTTTTTATATTGTATGTATGTTTCTCACAGGTATTTTCTTTGTAGATAACATGGGACTCAGGTAATATACCTTATAATAACAGTAATCTATTCTAAGGTTGTAGATATTTAACCTCAATTACATAAAAATACTTATTCACTTCCCCTCCCAGCACACTTATCATCTTAACATAGCCTACACAGATGCTACAGTCGCCTATTTTTTCTGTTTACTTTTCATTTCTATGCCAGATTTGAGTGCAATCATTACATTACTGGAATGTTTAATATGTGGTAATATATTTACCTTGATCAACAAATTTTATACTTCCGTACATTCTCATGTCACTTAGCATCCTTCTAAAAATTGCATTTGTATTGTGTTGAACAAGATTCTGGAACCCAAAGACCACATTCACTTCATTAATTAAAATGGCCAAAGAACACACATCAGTTCCATTAGGCAACTGAAAATCAGAACTGAAAGACATCATTCTGAGACTTAGGTTACTGAAGAAGTTGTGGCTCTGAGACCACCAATGCGGCTCTCATCCATAAAATACCCCCAACTCAGACACCTACCGGTTCCTTTGCTGAGGTATGGAGGCTTAAAGAATTTCACAACACCACAGACATTGACAACTGTGCCATCCTTGAGCAGATTCAGGGGTGTGTATGTATAAGGTGCTACTGAGCCCTAAAGAAAGACAGACGTAAATTTACCAGCCAGTATTTACATTTTACAGTATTACGGTAACACTGTGAATTACTAAGCTTGTGCCATTTCATTCCAAAAGATTTAAAGAAATGACTTCAGGGGTGTGATTAGGGACAAAAATGCACAGTTTCATAAGGGTACCATAGATAACAACTAGTTTTCTTGAAACAATTCTGCTCATAAACAGAAATCAGCACACCAGTCTTTAAAAGTATTAATTATATTTCTTTAACAAGAAAATACAAAGAATAAAATGCATTGAAATCCAGTAGCTGAAGCAGTATCAGAAAGGAAATACTTTTAACTCGATGTAAAGCTTTAAGAGAATCTTCCTGATGGAGATGACTATTGTGATGACGTCTCTGGACACCCAGAGAGGCTACCGGAGCTCTGTGCTGTCCAGGACTGAAGCTCAATTATAATGGAGCGATACTTAGCAAAAGAAACAGAGAAGATCTGTGCCTAAGCTCTCAAAAAAGACCCATACTCCACATTAATGAGCAAGTCCCCAACACTGAGATGAATGGGAAAGCCAGCACAGTTAGGGATATGGACCACTATCTATCTAACTTCTTACTCAAAAACCCAACCAACCAAGTAAACCTTAACCACTTCAAAATTCTTACTTAGGCATTCCATTGACATAAGTCACTACCTATTTGTATAGCTAAGTTATTCTTCAACATAAATTAATAAATGGATGTTCTGCATAGTCATGACAGTATATGCCTAAAAAGTGAAAATCTACCTAGCAGGGCTGGGGAGATGGTCAGCAGGTGAAACGCTGGCCATACATGTGTGAGGAATAAAGCACTCAGGTCAGTGCTGGCCGGGTCTGCAGCTCACCTGCAATCACACTGCTATGGAGGCAGAGACAGAGGACCCTGGGAGCAAGCTGGCTAGCTGGACTACAATTAGCAACCTCTGGGTTTGATGAGATACCATGCCTCAGAATATATTGGTGGACCGTGAGACAGAAAGACACCTGGCCATCAGTTATTGGTATCCACATGAACTTGCCATGTGCACACACAGTGGTTAAAGACCTCTCTTCCTTGCGGGGGACTCAGGTTTGGTTTCTAGCACCCATATTGAGTGGCTCACAATACTCCTATAACTCTAATTCCAGGAGCTCCAATGCCTTCCGGCCACAGTGGGCACCTGCATGCTAGTGGTGCCCATAAACTCAAGCAGGCACATATGCAGAAATATAGATAACAAATGCAGGTATCAACACATGGCCTTCTTTCAGGTTCACTCAGCTGTGCATATGGGAGCCTTTCTACTGCTGAATCAGACACCAAACTTTAATAAAGCAATGAAAAATTGGTTAAGAAATGTATCCAAAAGTATAAAGATTTTTCATTAGATTTACAATCTATTAAGTCACAATTCAGCACATAAAAACCTAATACAAGCTGACAAAAACAAAAGAAAAGAATTTGCCCGTGGTTTAAACTAGTAAAACTGCAATGTCTTCATAAAGTATATGTGTACAACTTATGTGGAGATATTTGTAAAGAATACAGGCAACAAATAATTACTAGATAAATATAGAACTGTAATACAACGTCATCACATGAAAAAGTAAAGGGATCACTATTCCATTGTGTTGACACTACAGTAAATTTCAAGTATAAAGTAAGTTAATTTAAAATCAAGGCATAAAGTAGATCCAATGTGTGTGTACACTGTGTGTCCTAAATGAAATTAAACATCAACTTACCGAAGACATTGTTTCTGTGGAAAATCCCTTTACTCATTTACGAAAACCCTGAAAGCAAAATAGAAAAGGCTTATTTGTATGCATGCTACCTCCAATGTGATCACAAGTTTTCAAATAGGGTTTACTACACATTTAGCAATATGCAAATTCTCTATGATGTTGCTCACAATTGCCCCACAACTCCAGGCACAAAGGCCGATACCCCCACCCCCACTCCACTTGGTTTTGCTCTCCACAGTTTGCATGCTTCAGGGGCTTTTAATATTTATACAACTTGGAGATACTGGATTGATGGGACATTTCTTAAGAATCATTTGTCTTGTCCTAGGAGTACTGCTTCTTAGCTTCCTCAGAAAAGTCCTGAGCATACTACCCCTCCCACTTGTAGGAGACAATCTTATCTACTTGAAGGTCTTCCTTACACCTTGGGGGTTGTAATGCACATAAAACAGTCAGAGATCTATCTCTTCATAAGGCTCCAAGATAGTCTTGAAACGTCTACCCCTGTACTTATTCAGGAACAATATAATCAGAACAAAGTACAAGTTTCTTTCTATTATACTTGACACCAACAAAGATCGACTGAAGTTACCTCTGCCCTGCATAGGGCTTATCCTGATGGGCAAAGAATGGTGTAAAAGATGATAAGAGAATGAGGTATCAGGAACTCCCTTTCTTTGAAAAGTTAGCTCCCACAGAGCCATTATGATGTCATATAGCCAATGAGCAAAAGAATGCCAGGATTAGAGATATAAATAAATTCTCTACAGATATGAAATGTAAACATTGTATTATGCCAGAAATTGAATAATAACTGCAGCAGGTGTTGGCCTGAGGATTTTGCTTGGGCCTACTGACAATTGGCACTCTGACAACTAAGAGTTAGTAATACAGCGCTCGGGACGCAGCCATCTGCCTGGGAAGGCTTAGAGGCTTTCTTTCTGTCTAGCATCTAGAGGCAGTCTTTTGCTCCTAGGAGCAATGATCCCTTCCCTCTCTCCTTTGCCCCTTTTTCTCTTCTCCCTCATCCTCTATCTCCTATTGTTGCCTCTTATTCACTGCCCTTTGTCCCTCTAGGGCAAATGAATTTCCTTTGTGTGGCAAACTTAGTCTTAGGGCATCTTGGGGCAACTTCAAGGTTCTTTTCAAAGTAATCTTACCAGCTAATGAATCTAGAAGAGGCTGAGGGAGACACTACAGCAAAGTTTTAGCAAAAGCAGCTTTACCTTAAACAGACATTGTCTACACGATGATGAATGAAAGCATTATCTATTAAAATCACTCACGTGTGTGTCCTGTGAAATACACACTATGAATGAAAGCATTAGCTATTAAAATCACTCACATGTGTGTCCCGTGATATACACAATCACATGTGTGTCCCGTGATATACACAACACTATGATGAAAGCATATCTATTAAAATCACTCACATATGTGTGCGTGTCCCGTGAAATACACATCTAAGAAGGTATTACTTCTAGAGGACAAGTAAAAAGCTAAGCAGAAATGTAGTCATGGACACCCCATACCTTAAGGTCTAATCTTCAAAACAGCTGCTTTATTTCCAAATGTTAAAGAAATAAGAATTTTCCCTGGAATGGAGAGAAAAATGTTAATTAAGAAGACTGGTTTTTACCAATATACATGTAAAAGTTAGAACATAACTTAAAGCATCCAATATATTTTTTACAGGGTTTCTCTGTGGCTTTGGAGGCTGTCCTGGAATTAGGTCTTGTAGACCAGGCTGGTCTCCAACTCACAGAGATCTGCCTGCCTCTGCCTCCCGAGTGCTGGGATTAAAGGCGTGTACCACCAACACCCGGCAGCATCCAAATTTTTTTATCTTTGAGATAAAAATACTGTTTCAGAATACTAACAAAAATATAAAGCCACTTGGAAGGTTCTGGAGACGGGTTCTTACCAGGGACTTACTACTACAAATGTCTCTACTACAGCCTAACCTCTATACAGAAACCACTGCAGGTTTGTGGGCATAAGTGTGCACAAATGCAGGCGCGCGCACACACACACACACACACACCCACACACCCATCATCTGTGCAAGTCTGCACTGGTGACAGCCTTGCTGCTAATTACTACAGCTAAGGATCATGGCCGTCTTCAGAAAGTATGCTCATTGCCTTTAGAAGCTGGCACTGCCCAGTCCTTGAATATACTCACACTTTACTATGCCACGTGCCAGGTTACAAAGCTAGTCTATTCCCTTCATTAATCTTTACAGCATCTTTCTCTGAATCTCATCTGAACCATCTGTTCAGGAAGTCAATATATCACGGTAAAGTAAATACTAGGTCACCTGAGAAAAACATGAGGACCTCAAAATACATATGGTTCATAGCTAGATTTCTAAATCCTTACTTAAGATACAGAGAAACAGTGAAGTTACCCAAGCTTTGTTTCATCCCATAACACTATTCCTTAAGAAAATAAAATAATGCTTGTTTTCAGAAATTTAAGAAGGAAAAAAAAATCCAAATGTAAAATGAAAACACATAAACAAGAATGAGGCCAAGTCAATACACTAAGAAACAAGGACAATTTAGTCTCCACTCCAGTCAACTTAAAAAAAATTATCTAGTCAAAAGTACCGAAAAAAGGGTTTCATCACAATACTTTTCGTAGTTTCTTTTGATTTTCATATTTAAATCTCTCTCATGCACACACCATGGACTCTTTGTCAACATCAACATGGGTATCTGTAGGATTTACTGAAAAAGGTTTACAAGTCAATGCTACAATACTCTTCCACATTACATTCCAGAATTTAACATAATTATCAGAAAGGCTTCAACTTTACTGATAAGACAGAAACCATGACAACTGTATTCCTAACAGAGACTTCCAGGGAGAGGCAGGCAGATCCCAGGCATCTTCCAAAAGTTATACAGACTATACAGAGAGACATTATCTCAAAAGAACAAAATAAAACGTTTAAAAAAAAGTCATCCTTTGGTGATCCTTCATGGAAGGCCTCACCCTCCCTGGGAAGTGGATGGGGGAAGGGAAGATGGGAGGGAGAGGGAACTGGGATTGATATATAAAATAAGATTCTACTTTAAATATATATATATATGCATATATACATACATCATACATATATACATACATACACACACACACACAGACACATGTCATCATCAACTAAGGGTGTAGACAATTCATGACTCAGAAGGAATAAAAATAGCAAACAGCTGGACAACCTGAAAAATTTCAAAACTTTCCTTGACCCACTAAAGGAGGTCCAGGGCAATAAACTACAGAGTGAAGGAAACAGATTCCTCAGTGAGACAAGTTTCATATACAGCAAAAGGCAGACACTCTAGTACCTGAGGGAAAATTTACAGAACACTTTTACTGGATTGTTGAGGCCAAGAAACGCTTCACAGGGCACCTGGGAGCTGCTAACCACGGGATTAGTCATTCAGAACAAATGTGAGGTGTAGAGAAACAAGCCTGTGTGTTTGGTGAAAACCCAGTGTGGCTGAAAGAGGACAGAAAGACAGAAAACAAAGCCCACCTGCTATTAGAGGAGCAAAGCCCAAGCCCACAGTTAGGGACAGCTCAAGATGGTCCCACACCAAGACCTCACCACAGACCCACACTTGAACTCAGGGCTTAAATGTGAATCTCCCCTCATCTTGAACAGAATGGCTAGTGATTACAGACAGCTAAGCTTTCTGAACTCAGTGCCACTGTAGCCTAGTTGTTCTCCAAGGCCTTTTAACTCTTGATTTTTATCTCAAGTCTGAAACAAACTATCCAGATTTAAATGTCACCTCTACCTCTTATTAGCTGGCTGACCTCAGGAAAATCACTTAACCCTTCTGAGTATGTCCAAACTTATAAGGTATAAATCATTGACATCATAGTTTCGCGATAATTAAATGAGTTAACACACACAATACCTAAGACGACACCAGGCAGAGAGAAAACACTCAATAAATGCTGCTTGCTTGTTATTAGCACTAGATTACTAGTTTTTTTGGTTTTTTTTTTTTTCCTACCCACCTGCTCCCATTGTCCTTTCTACTACTAATGAAAACCAGTTATCAGCTTTTTGTTTTGTTTTGTTTTGGTTTGTTTTTTCAAGACAGGGTTTCTCTGTATTGTTTTGGAGGCTGTCCTGGAACTCGATTTGTAGACCAGGCTGGCCTCGAACTCACAGAGATCCGCCTGCCTCAGCCTCTTGAGTGCTGGGATTAAAGGTGTGCGCCACCAACGCCCAGCCAGTTATCAGCTCTTACCTGCACGACTGCCACTGACTAATTGGGTTTTCTTCCACTACGCTTGCTATGCCATAACTATACCATATACTCTTTGTGCTGGAGGCAGCATGGCTTAAACTCAAAAGTGAGTGATGTCTTTCTCCTGCTCATATCCGGTGTGAGACATCCATGTCGCTACTGTAGAATCCAAATTCCTTGGCACACACATGACTTTTCTCATCATCCCAAAGAAAGTAAAATAGTTACCCAGAAAGTCCCAGCTCATCTCTCATAACCTAACCATCAGAAACAAAAATTTTCTTATGTTCACCTATCAAAGTGCTACTGGTCCATATTAGTTAAAATTAAAAATCACCTTTTTTATGGTGACTAGACCTCTTTGTCTTTGTACCTCAGAAACATATTCTAGTGCATCACAAAACATGTTTGCTAAGTGAAAGCAGGAAAATCATGAATTAGCATCAAAATATTCAATCTCAGATGTATGTAGTGGCAAAAATAAAAGCCTATCTTAGGCACTCTCACGAAAATACTAAATATAAAACAGGTGTATAGTTTTTTTAGGAGGAAAATGCATTCTGAGTTAACAAACTTACCTGGATGTACATCTTGCTATAATCACACCCTGGCTATAGAAATCTAAAACCTAGATTCTGCAATTTATTCAGTGACTGAACTTCCAGCGCCCCTTTGGATTCCTTTATTAATGAATTGGCAACAATTCTGCTTCATAATGATGTCCACAGAAATTCAAATAGAAAGACAAAATTCAAGTTGTCACTTGCTGCTAGGACACAAAGAGCAACATTTTATCCAAAATAGCGCCCATAATTTGCCTTAAATATCTTTGATACAATTTTGGTTTTGCTTTCTTTTTTTCAATTTTCTTTTTTAACCTGATAGAAAGGCATAATACATAAATATATTTTAAAAATCTTCAACTACCTGGTTTTGCTTTCTTTAATAAGCTAATTTCAGTGTTGGGATGCAGGTGTTAGAAGAACATACGACTTTACAGGTCTACTGTAATTATAAACACACAGCAAGCTTCTTTGGGGTTGAAAAAGAACTACTCTTCACTTACCTTTTGCATTAAAAGCACTTTTAAAAGCTATTTTTAAGATCTGTAGCCGGGCATAGGGGCTCACGCCTTTAATCCTAGCGCTAAGAGTCAAAAAAGCAGGTGAATCTCTGAGTTCGAGGGCAGCATGATCTACATTACACTATTTCGGGACAGCAAGAGCTACATAAACAATCTCTAAACAACAACAAAGATCTGAGAAAGTTTCACTAACTTCACCACGGTACAGTATTTTAAAATATACAATGGGGAGAAGCTAGCTTGCTTCCTGTTTTGTAATCCCCTTTGGCAATTTAAAATTTTCGTGCATGCGTCCTGTACCAAAAGCTTCTTCATTCCACGAATATTGGGTGCCTCCCCCCGAACTCGTAAATAACCTAGAGAAACGGCTACAGAAATTAGCTGTGCAATCTTTCTTGTGAAACTTCTTGCCAGGGTCACGCACTAACATCACTTCTTTAATGCGAGGGGATTCACGTTCCCAAACACTGACCTGCACCTGGGCCGGTCCCCGGAGTCACTAGCCCCCCGCAAGATGCTTAACACAGCGGGTTAAGGCCGCTGGCGACACAACGCATTTTCTGCACACCACCCCAAATGTGCAACTAAACAACCCCCGCTCTTTCATCCAGGCCCCGACCGGCCCCGACCCCTGAATTCACTCACCCACAAGACAACCGGAAACCTAGCAACTGTTTCAACACACGCAGATGTGACTTCCGGAGCCCGTCCAGACAGACACATGCGCACTGCACTAGCCCACTCACAGCTGGCTGGGCTTCACAGCGCTAACCGGATTAGGAGGCGGGACCTCGGTCAAGCTCCTCCCAGGTCGTCACGGCAACTCAGGATGCGCGCTGCTCCTCTTTGTACGCCTCCTAGTGGATCCCTAGGGAACACCGGAAAGCCTACAAGAATTAAAGGGTTTGCTTGCTTTCTGGAGTTCTAGATCCTGAAGCCAATAGCAACTCTATTCAGAACCAGAGTCCAGTTTCTGTTTAGTAGCCCGTAGCCCTCGGAGGCAGCAGCTTTAATTCACCTTCTAAGTTAAGCACGCAAATGCAATTTTGGCAAGAAAGTGAATACACAAAGACAGCAATGTTATTTGGTTGTTTTTATCGCAGTTTAGGGCTTATGCGGATTTTCAGGCAAGTTGAAGAAGACAACAGAGAGCACTTTGTTAGTCTGAAGGTTTTTCTTCCTTGACTGTATTTTTGGCTGATCAGAAATCGTCATAATTTAGGAAACTATATAATAAATAATTTTGGATTATAGAAAGCTGAACAAAAGTGTATATGCTTCACAGGTTTATCATTGTTATGGTGGAAGTACCCAAGCCCTCCTCCCCTCTCTCCCTTCAAACCCTGCTACTTCTCAGAAGCCCAACAAATGATGGCCCCTCCCCCACAGATACTCAAGACCACTTGCACAGGGTGTTTAAAGTGCACCCCAGAAATCAGAGTCGTGGTTTTTCTGGTTTCCTTTCTTGTCTCCTCTCTGGGAGACTGGAAGGTCATCAGGGAGCATTGTATCCATTAAACGTGGGCTTTTTAAAATTCGTTTTGATCTGGTCTGATTTGGATTGCTACATCGGCAGAGAGGCTTATGGGTACAGAAACTTTTCATCTGGAGGTCCCATTAAGGGGGCTGTTTTTCCCCCACTGGCCCAGGGCCGTTTGGCAGGAAAACATCCTTCTTCACATCTGCTCTCTGCCATGCTAAGATCAGCTTCCGACTGGGAAAGTTGTCCTTTCTAAGTCATTGCCTTAGAGGCTCAGGGTCTCCTGCAATTTTCGGGGTGTCCTGCCAAAGATGTGGTCATGCCAGTCCCCAACCTGTTACTGGGACAAGGACCTGCCTTGTGCAGTGGGAACCCTGTTGTGCCAGGTTTGTGGAATCCCAGAGACTAACCCAAGGAGTCAGCACTCTGATGCAAAAGCAAAAGGTTCCATTTATCGTTCAGCTGGCCAGCCGGATCTCTTTCCATGCTGGAGGAAATGAGATGCCCACCAGCCAAAAGGAGATGTTTTCAAAGGGGCAGACCATAAGGTTGAAGGTAGCAAATTTCAGTTTCCATGGTTACTTAAGGTCATACAAAGTACAGAGTAAAGCAGTAACTATATATTTTAAGCAAGACACATTTGAGTAAGATAAGACAGGGCATGGGCTTGCAGGGTTACGGGCCCTAGGGTCTGTCAGCTAACCCCTGAGCGTGGGGATCTTTACTATCAGCATCTAGCAAGGAATGTTAGCAGGAGAGATGGTTACCTCCCCTTCTCTGAGAGCAGGGGCTCAGGCACCAGCCATGGCACTCCTGGTTTAAAGATTTTCCTTTTCCATTGTAAGTTCCCTTACTCTGTATAGATTTAGGGCCCAGGTTTTTAAACTTTTATTAATTTTAATTTTTGGTTCCTCGACCCTTCTTCAGAAGACTCTCTGTTCAAGGGATGCTCCCACAGTTCCTTCCCCCCCCCCACACACACACACTCTGTTTTTACCCAAGGCTACCACAGTGGATGAATTGCCTTAGGCTTTGGGTTCCAGCATAGACTTGTGAAATGGTCACCTGCCATTAAAATAAAATGCTCTTGGACTGCCTTTTACAAAATCTTTTTAAGAGTCGGGATGTTCTGAATGCCCGATTTCTCTGTGCACTAAGGCCTGACCTCTGTACGCCCTTGACAATGGGACACCACGGCCACCAGAGGGAACTTTTGGTTTTACCATCCTTGGTGATCTTGAAAATTTTTGCCAGCATGGGGACAAGTGAACAAAACCCCCATGTGTCTATGGTTTTGTTGGCTAGGGGTTACGGTGCCTCCAGATTCCCACCTATCTGAGAACGGATACCCAGAAAATTCTGCCCTGACCTTGCTCCTGAGACACTGGCCCCTCCCCTTGCCTGCTCAACCCCATGGGGCCATGCAACCTGTTCCATTCAGTGGCCTACATTCCTCTCACTCCTCCCCCATCCACCTCCTACCCTTCCTTCCCCTCCAGGACAAAGGTTGAGTAACAGCTTCCTCCCTACCCACCTTCCTCTTTTCCCCTTCCCATTACCACCCTCCCCATCCTCCCAGGCCACCTCCTTGTCCTCTCTACACATTGACCTATACTTGACCTAGCTTCCCCAGCAGGAGCCACCATCCTAGCAACCTATTTCATTTCTCAGTCAGCACCAGATATTAGAAACCAATAAAAAAAGGCAGGGGAGGGGTCCCCAAACTCCCAGACAGAAATTGGCTAAAATGGCTTTTAAAGTTTTCAATGCCCAAAGAGGTGGCCTCCTGACAGACAAGACCATGCTCAGAGCCTAAGCCTTAGCAGCTGCCCTGAGGCTACAAGGGGACAGGGGAAGTTGACCACCATGAGGCTCCATCCGACGAGGCCATGCCTGCTGACAGCCTAGACACCGGAAGTCAGAATGCTCCTGGAGGCCCAGCCTCACCAACATCGGCAACTGAGACAGTGCCAGCCTTCGAACTACTCAACCTAGAGGAGGACTGAGGCGGTCATTTGGTGGGCTTTCTAAGATGTAGCAGGGTTGGAAGGGAGATAGGGGAGGAAGGTTTGGGTGGAAACTCCACCATAACATCCCAGACTCTTTGGTTCATGTCTGGCTTCTTCCTGCTGACAAGGGAAGATGTCGGGGGAGGGGATTGTATTAAATAGGTATATTGCTTTCGGTAAGATTGCCATTTTTTCTATGTTGATCCAAGAGCATGGGAGATCTTTCCATTTTCTGGTGTCTTCTTTAATTTCTTTCTTTAAAGACTCAAAGTTCTTGTGATACAGGTCTTTTACTTGTTTGGTTAGCGTTACCCCAAAGTACTTTATGTTATTTGTGGCAATTGTAAAGGGTGACATTTCTCTGATTTCTTTCTCAGCCCTTTTATTGTCAGTATAAAGGAGGGCTACTGATTTTCTTGAGTTGGTCTTGTATCCTGCCACATTGCAGAAGGTATTTATCAGCTGTAAGAGTTCCTTGGTAGAATTCTTTGGGTAGCCTATGTAGACTATCATATCATCTGCAAATAGTGAAAGTTTTACTTCTCCCTTTCCAATTTGTATCCCCTTGATCTCCTTTTGTTGTCGTATTGCTGTAGCTAGAACTTCAAGGACAATATTGAAAAGATAGGAGAGTGGACAGCCTTGTCTTGTTCTTGATTTTAGAGGAATTCCTTTGAGTTTCTGTCCATTTAGTTTTATGTTGGCTGTTGGTTTGCTGTATATAGCTTTTATTATGTTTAGGTATGTTCCTGTTATCCCAGATCTCTCTAAGACCTTTATTTATCATGAAGGGGTGCTGGATTGTGTCAAAGGCTTTTTCTGATCTAGTGAGATGATCATGTGATTTTGGTTTCTCAGCTTGTTTATATGGTGGATTACATTGATGGATTTTTGTATGTTGAACCATCACTGCATCCCTGGAATGAAGCCTACTTGATCATGGTGGATGAGTTTTCTGATGTGTTCTTGCATCCAATTTGCCAGTATTTTATTGAGTATTTTTGCATCAATTGAACATATTTTCTCTTCCAGAAACTACTCTTACTCTCCTAACCTATCTACGTATCCATTTTTTGTTATTTTCTCTTTCTCCCAAAAAGTTTAACGAAGCATAAAATGAAAATCATAACAAATAAATAAAACTCAATAAAGCAAAAGAATATCCCAAAAGATGGAACTGGAAGAAACCATCCTAAGTGAGGTAACCCAGTCACAGAAAGACAAACATGGTATGTACTCACTCATATATGAATATTAGATGTAGAGAAAAGGATTTCCAGCCTAGAATCCACACCTCCAGAGAAGCTAGGAAAGAGGAGGATTGTAAGAGAGACATAAAGGGCCCCTCAGTGAAGGGGAAAGGGACAAGAAACACTGAACAAATTGGGAATGTGGAGGGAGAGTGGAGGGATGTAGCAGAAAGAGGAGGGAGGAGGAGAACATGAGGGATCAGGAAGATTGAGTGGGGAGATGAATAGAGGAGAGAAAGAAAAGAGACACATCAATAGAGGGGGCCACCATAGGTTTAAAGAGAAATCTGGCACTAGGGAATTGTACAGAGATCCACAAAGGTGACCCCAACTAGGAACCTAAGCAATAGTGGAGAGGCTACCTTAAATGCCCTTCCCCTATAATGAGAATGATGGCTACCTTAAACGCCATCCTAGAGCCTTCATCCAGTAGCTGATGGAAGCAGAAGCAGAGATCCACAGCTAAGCACTGAGCCAAACTCCTGGAATTCAGTTTCAGAGAGGGAGGAGTGATGAACAAAGGGGTCAAGACCAAGCTGGGAAAACCCACAGAAACAGCTGACCTGGGCAAGTGGGAACTCATGGACCCCAGTGTGATAGCTGGGGAACCAACATAGAACCAAACCAGGCCCTCTGAATGTGGGTGTCAGCTAGGAGCACTGGGCAGTCTATGGGGCCTCTGGCAGCAGAACCAGGATGTATCCTTCATGCATGAACAGACTTCAAGAACCCATATCTTACAAGGATACTCTCTTAGCCTAGATACACAGGGGAGGGCCTAGGCCCTGCCCAAAATGACTTGGCAGATTTTGATGATACCTCATGGCTGGCTTCACCCTCCTTGGGGAGTGGATGGAG